GACACTTCACATCATGGGTCATAGAATTTACCATCTCAGTTTAGATTTCTGCAACAATGACATATCCTGGTCAATGACAAAACCCCTAATTATTATGCAAAGCGTTCACCCCAAATGGATTCGTTTATGATAACTGGATAAAGAACTTCCTCTGATTGAAGAGTTTCAGAATTGTTTCCTGTGTAAACCGGAGTTTAGGCCTGAAGTTCTCAAGCTCTAGGAGGCATCAGCAAAATCACTTGGAGTGTTGGTTAAACACGGATTGCTGTGCTCCACCCTCCGAGTTTCTTATTCTTCAGACCTGAGAAAGGGCCTAAAAATTTGCCTTTCCAAGTTCCTAAAGCTGGTGCTGGCTGCCACCCTCTGATTAGCTATTTGGTTAAAGGAATGGTTATCACTGTTTCTTCCCTTACACACCTGCAGAACATAACACTAATAATAGTGCCTCAATCTAGACATTGTAGGGGGGATGGGCAAGGTGCTATTGGGGTAGGTCAGGTATTGAAATCTTCAGGAGGTGGGTGTAGCTTGAGAAAGCCCTTCAAATGATTGGATGTTTTTCCTCCTGTCCTGTCTACCCCTTGGAGTCTTTCTCCCTTCCCCAAATCCCTCATTAGAAACCCTGGTCTGTATGAAGGTGTCCATATGGGATAGGGATGGTTTATGTCCTCTCCCAGCAAACAGCAGGGCACAGCCCCCAGAGTCAGGGAGGAAGCCTCAGTGCTTTCAGGAAGTTAAGGAGAGGAAGAAGCGGTTATGGTGCAGCATAACTGGAATGCTGAGATCATGAGGAGGATTCTCTCTGGTAACCATTTTATTTTCCTTTTTTGTTTAAACTACGGTTGTATTATATCAATAGCTATAGATACTGGCCTGAGTAGTGTTTATGGTTACAGCTTCTTCATATATTGCCCTTTCTGGGCCAGATTAGCTCTGACTTAAAGTTCCAAGGACATTTTGTAAATGTGTGTTATTTAATCCCCCACACAATCCCATGGGGTAGATATTAGTGTCTCTACTGTACCCATGAGAGGAGTGAGACTCAGAGAGGTTACACAATTCCTGGGATCACACAGTAAGTATAGTCATATTCCAACTCCGTAAGGTTGTGTGAACTTGGGTAAGGTCCATAACCTACCTAAAATATAGTTTCCTCATCTGTGGAATGAGGAAGGTATTAGCATCTGCCTTCTGAGGTTGACTTGAGGCTGTTAAATGAGTTACTATGAAGAATTTTGAACAGTGCATGGCACATAATAAGTGCTCAGTAAATGTCATCTCTTGCTTAGCTAACTCCTACTTGGTATCTTTTAAGTTCAGGGGTCATCGTGCCTCTGTACCAGGTAATCCTCTTTTTATGTATAACAGGTCAACAATCTCCTATTCATAGTTTAGAGATCTGGAAAGCTTTGAAAACTGCAGTTGTTTTCATAAATCATTTAATGGCAAAACCTTATGTGAGTTGAACTCATTTGATGCCACAACCTGACCTGTACTAACATGAAACTTGCTAATCTTTTTTTCCACCTGGTTGTGAATATACCTACATTTTGCTGTGGGAGTACTTCTTGATTATGGGGGGTGCTTCTCCAGGGTCCAGTTGGGGTGTTATGTGATATATGATGAGCACAATTTTTAAAAATCTGAATACGTACCTCCAAATTCTGAAATGCATCTGGCCCTAGGGCTTTAGGGTAGTGGATTAAGGACCTGTGTGAGTATGAACCTAAATGTTTTTCTTCTTAGACTATAAACTCCTAGAGAGCTGGGCCTATGTCTTACTCATATGTAGCCTCAATTCTTGGCACATAATAGGCAGTCAGTGAATGTTTGGTGAAGGAATGAACTATGCCAGAACATACCAGTTAGGTGAAGGGAAACAGACCTGAGAGCAGCGCTGTATTTATTTTCTGGACCACAGACAAAATAGACTGCTTTAGTTTACAAGAGGCTGAATTGTTTTACTTTTGGAGCACTTAAAAATGTTCAATGTAATGATAAATTTGGTAGGCAAATGAAAAAACAAAACCTAATGCTTACGCTACAGTTTCAGCATATCTAGCTTCTATGTTCTTCTCTTATCTATTTGCCCATGCAGCTGTAGCTTTTTTGCTAACTTCTTGAGAAAGAAAGCCACATGGGAATATCTGTATATATTGACTACTTGGGGTGGGTAGGCAAGGGTGTATTTAAATTCCTTGGTAAGAATGATCATAAAAGCTTTAATTGCCTTGTCTAATTCATTATGGGTTTAGCGTTTTTTTGTTTTTGTTTTTTTTAATTTTACAAAGTATAATAATTATAAATCAGGTTTGCAAAGAGAAAAGCAGAACTTTGGAGAATTTAATTATAAGAACAAACTTGAAATTAACTTTTTTGATTAATAGACTTAGTAAGCAAAAGTAGTTTTTGCTTAAATTTTTAAACTGCAATTTAAAATACTCTTTCCGTCTTAATATGATTTCATGATCAGTATGAAAATTATTAGTAACTAAGATACTTGTATTTCCTTGTTGCAAATAGGCTAAAATAGCTGTTCCCTAACAGCAATATCATTGTGCAGTCTACATAATGCCTTGCTTTAATAACAATTCTGTGGACATTTTTTAAAGTGGAGGGAGATGGCAGTTTGAATTATGCAACTATTTTTTTTCCATTTTATTTAATAAATTGGCTTGGATGCAATGGCTCATTGGTATTTTTTGATATTTGTAACAGGTACAGTTGAACTTTTAAAAGATAACTGATATGCTGCTTTCTACTCAACTTACAATGCTTTCACTGTATGATAGTTATTTAAAAGGTGTTAAATGAATAAAATATTCATGTTGAAAAAGAACTTAGTCAAGAAAAATCATGGTCAGAGATCCAAGATGGCAGAGTGGATAAGCACTATGCCTGCATCCTTCCATGAACACATTAAAATTACAACTAAATTATAGAACAATCAACTGGGAGAACCACCTGAAGTCTAGCCAAACAGAAGTTCTGTGACTAAATGTAAAGAAAAAGCCACATGGAGACTGGTAGGAGGGCAGAGACGTGGAACGGACCCCAAACCTCCCTCTTGAGAATCAGGGGATATCTCGGCCACAGAGGTTCCCTCGGGAGGAGTGAGGGACCCTAGTCCCCCCCCACACACACACACACACTAGGCTCCCCAGCCTGGAGTACTGGTACCAGGAAGAGGAGCTCCCACACCATACGGCTGGAGATTCTGACCATCTGGGTGGGACAGAAGGCTGTGGGAAACCCACACATCCTCTTAAACAGTCCACGCACAGACTAACTCGCTCACAGGCACTCTCACCTTGGGCTCCAGCGAAGGGATGGTGACTTGGGGTCCTTGGAGACAAACAGGGACACAGACTAAAGTGTGTGGCTTCTGGGGTTGGACTGGAGGACAGTCAGCATTTTCCCTGTGTGAGGTCCTTATCCTCTGCAGCCGGCAGGCAGATGCCATCTTTCCTGTGTTGTGCCCGCCCCTACCACAGCCAAGTCTGAATCTGATTGGCCTGGTGAGCTCCACTTCTGCATCCTGCTGACTCACTGGGACCCTGCCCTAACCAACTCCCCCAACGCTGGAGGCACTTGATTTGCAAGCAGCCAACCTGGCCCTCATTGCACTTTTTCTGGGTCTTGTGCTTAGAGAAGCAGAGAAAGTTACTCTGTGGAAACAGGAAAAACAAAGATATGAGAAAAAAAAGGACAGCTAGAGAAAGAATACTACTGGTTTTCATCCTCTCACCTATTCCTGAGGTAGTAATATTCATGCCTTTTGGTTCTGTGATTCATCCTAAATCCTTAGAAGAAATTTTTCTTTATTTCTTAACCTATTTCAGGTTAATTTATTTACTAGAGAATGAAGTGTCACAGGTGCTAGGGATTTAGCAAAGGTTAAAGTGAACAAAGTCCCTGCCTTAAGGAGCTTGCATTCTACCTGGAGGAAACAGATGACAAATAAGCAAATACACATTAGATGGTTGGGTCTTTTAGTGACTTTATATAGGGGCCTAGGTGGCTGCATATGTGCTATCAGTGACGGTCCCTCTGATGAAGTAACATTTGAGCAGAAGTAAGGGAGCAAGTGATGAAAACATCAGGTGTAAGAGTGTTTCAGCAAGAGGGAAGAGAAAGTGTAAAGACACTGAGGCTGGAGGCTACGTAGTGTGTTCAAGGAACATCAAGAAAGCTTTTGGTTGGTGGGGGCAGAGTGAGTGAGAGAGAGGTTGATAGATGAGAAGGTCAGGGTGTGTGTGTAAGCGGTGGTGTGGGACCCTGTAGGTTAAAAGAAAGGCTTTCCTCGGAGTAGAGTGGAAAGCTGTTATAGGATTGAAAGCAGAAGAGTGCCGTGTGTTTTCAAAGTATCACTAATTGCTATATATAGAATAGACTGGTCAAAAACAGGAGAAAGGAGATCAGGTGAGAGAGATGGTGGCTTGGACCAAGGTAGTCAAAGTGGACACATTCAGTTAGTCAAATCCTGGATTTTTTTTTTTTAAGGACTAACTGACATGTTGTCCTGATGGTAGAGATGTGGGGGATGAAAAGAAACAAGTTAAGGATGACTCTCAGGTTTTGGGCTTAAATAATTGAAAGGATGGAATTACTATTTACCAAGATGAGGAAGACCTGAGGGGTTGAGTTTTGAAGTATTAAGTTTGAGGTGCCTGTCAGACATCCCAGTGAGGATGTCTATTGGTGCCCTCTGAACTATTGTATTTCTCACTGGATTCCATTCTAGTACTAATTCTGTATAATTTAGTCTTGAACACTACAACTCAAGATTTCTGTTCCATCCTCTGATCACATTCCACAATAAATTCCTTTAGTAAATAATCTAGATCTATATTTACTAAATAACTTTAAGTTCCAGGAATAATTGACTATTTCGCTTGAGTTTTAGAAAGACCAAAAAGAAGTTATATATCAATATTTTAAAAGTGGATTAATATGTAAATGTTAATGGAGAACTGAATCAATCTCTCTCTTTTTTATAGTTGCTTTGTGTAGTTAATTTTGGAGTAAACACTATCAAAAATGAGTGAACTGGAACAGTTGAGGCAAGAAGCTGAACAACTGCGGAATCAGATCCAGGTAAGAGCAAACTTTTTCGTTTGAAATTTTAACACTTTTATTCAGTACCAGCAATTAATAACATTTGTTCATTAGGTCATTAGTCTACATATGTTAAGTAATTTATAAGGCCAGAAATGGTCTTTTTTTTTCCATTATTATGCCTCTAAAGAACTCTCCAAAAATCACTAGTAACAAATGAACTCAAAACAATAAAGAGCATAAGAAACAAAACACAAGCTCCATCTTTAACAAAATTAAAAGACACTCAGAACTTCATAATAGGATGGGGAAGACCTGTCAGATATAGAGATGTGTCAGGGTGTGGGAAGGCTCTGAGAGAGGTTTCTCATACAGAGTAGGTAGCACTCCTGAAGGAACAACTGCAATAATCCTTTCTTTGGAACAATGGAAACGGATGCTTCCCTGGACTGAGGAGTATCAAGGAAGGCAGAGGAAAAAAAGAAATAATATAGACATGCTATCTTTTAGGAAGCCTCTTATTGACAGGGTGGAGGAAAGAAACTGAATAATGTGTGGCCTGGCACTGCCTACTTGTTTTCTCAGGGAAAAGTAAGGCCTAAAACAACTTACAAATACCAGGGTGCCAAAAAAATGTATACAAGTGGACACTTTGGTCAACGTTGCTCAAGCAGTAGTTCGCCATAATCAGAAGTGTCTGGACCCTGATGGTAACCACTTTGAGCACCTCTTGTAATTGCAGAAGTCAAATGTGACTTGTATTCATCTTTTATTATCAGTATATATTATTACAATTTTAATACAGTTTTCCTTTCTTAAAATGTGTATACATTTTTTTGGCACCATCTGTGTAAATGAAGACCTTTGGCACAAAGCAGGGAGAATCCCTGATAACTTGGAACACTGCTGTTGCCCTCGCCAATATGATCCTTTTGCAATAGATATTTCAGAAGGACTCTAAAATAATTTAAAAAGTGGGGAATAAGAAAAAAGGAATAAGCATAGGCTCTATACAAAGGTATTACAAGAAAAGAGAGGGAAAGGAGCAGGAAAAACAAGGTATGGACGAAGAACACTCACCTGAAAAATGTTGATTTTGAGTAAATTGAAGTCCTAACCATTTTTATTGCCAGGAATTCAAAGAAGTTAATGATTTAGATGTGAATAAGAACTCTGAGTTGATACCTTAAGTGTCAGAACAAAGCTGTCAAAACAAAGTTGGAATTTATTTAACCTGGGATGAGAAGGCTTCGTGGGTTAATCTCTGAATTAAATGCTGCTGCCACCACCAGAAAGGATTCTCCACCATCTCTACTTTGGGTGACTTGCTCCAGATGCTGAGCAGGACCTTTTTATTGGCCAAGCACATGGGCACATGCCCATCTCATTTTTAAAAAAATCTGTGCTCTGTATTTATGAGCTTGTTCTTTTTTTGATTCCACAAATAAGTGAGATACGTGGTATTTGTCTTTCTCTGACTTATTTCACTTAGCATAATGCCCTCAAGGTCCATCCATGTTGTTGTAAATGGCATGATTTCATTCCTTTTTATGGCTGAATATTCCATTGTATACACAGAGAGTGCCCAAAAAATCCTTATCTTAAAATAAAATCCCTATTTTAAGAAAGGAAAAAAACTATTAAAATTGTAATACAATGAATGATGCATTTGATTAATGCCATCTTTTGAGTGAATGTCATTACACATTGCTACCATAATTCAATTCAACTTCAAAAAGCAATACATAGATAACATCGCTTAAAATGTGTACATTTTTTTGGCACCCCCGATATGTACCACATTTTCTTTATCCATTCATCCATTGATGGACAGTTGTGTTGTCTCCATATTTGGCTATTGTAAATACTGCTGCAATAAATGTGAGGTGTTTATAGCTTTTCAATTTAGTATTTTCATTTCCTTCAGATAAATGCCAATGGATAATAGAATTTATAACAGTAAATTCTTCTCAATGTAAAGAGGATCTTTGCATAATGTACATTTGCAAGTAATTGCTGCGAAGATATTTGTAGAACTCTTATATTCCAACATGATGTTTTAATTTTTACTACAGATTTGCACTATTCAATAATTTTCACTTGTGGTTTGTTAATTGCATTGTTAATGTCAAAGTAAGCTCTATGAGGATAAGGATTTTAGGTTTGTCCACTGCTATATCCCTGGTACCTAGAATAGTACCTGACACATAGTGTTCAACAGATTTTTTTTTTGAGTGACTGAATTAAGAAAGGTGACCTAAATGATAGTTCATTTTCATAAAGCTTAAAATCAGAGAATCCTTTTTTTAGACTTTAGTCTTCAACTTCTTCATTTTTGGAACATAGCTCAGGCCATCACTGTCATTTCTAGAAATTCTTTTCATTGTAGGAAAGTAGGCTAAATCATTCCTTGCTAAATGAGGTTTTTCAACCCATAATTTGACTAGATTGAGAGACTCAAATCGTATGTTTGTGTAACTACTTATGAACACCCTTACATAGAAATATCCTAAGTGTTTATAAATAGGTTGAAAGGGCAGCCAAAGGCTTGTGCATTCCATCTAGTCTTTGCTGCACGTGGAGGCAGGCATTTTTCCTTCGGCCGACTGGAACAAGTTGTTTATTTGGGACTTATATTCACAAGATACTGTGTGCTTCCTCTCTGCGCAGGAGCATGCTAAGCACAATAGGGAAAAATAAAGTTGAAAAGGATACCGCCCTAACCTTTGAGAGGGAAAAAAATTTGTTTCAAATCTAGTAGGGAGAATTAACATCTGTGATTCTGATGTATATGAATCCTCTAATTTATTATTAACTGATAAATTTGGTTTTAAACAATTTGTTCCTTATTAAATATGTTCTTTCCTTGCCTTTACTTGTTTTGTTACATTGATTTCTGTTTCATGATCTTTTTCCTTTTGATAATTGCCTGTAGTTGTGTAGAAACTTAAGGTCTCTTTGAAAAGCTACAGCTCAGGCATAAACATCAGCTTACATGTTATTAATGCTATTAATATAAATCTTATTAATATAAAATATAGATGTGACTCAGTATAAACTATTGCTATTACACAAAAAATTGTTTTCCTGAGATGCCATGTCTTTTTCTCATATTAGATCCACACAATTTTATTTCTAATAGCATCTGTATCCAGTGTACTTGGAAAGCATTGTAAAGAAGTGTTATGTATTTAAAAAAACATTTCTGAAGTGACCTGGGTTAACTATAAATATCCTTCCTATCACCTCAACTTCCAGATGCCAGAACAAGCAGAACAGAACCCAGAACTCTTGCTTTTTCTGAAGCTTAGTAACAAATATAACTGAATACTGCGGCCTTGTTAAATCAACCTCGTTCATTTTTACTCAGGGGATGCAATTAAAAATCTTTTATTCATAGACCCAAGGTATATTTGCACAATGGAGTACAATTGAGAGTCCATAAGTAAATCAATTGGCTGTAGATATATGGGTTTTCAACAAGGGTACTAAGGCAATTCAATAGGGAAAGAATAATCTTTTCAGCAAATGGTGCTGGGACAACTAGATACCCACATGCAAAAGAATGAGTTTTGACTCCTTCCTCACATCATTTATAAAAATGAACTCAAAATGGTACCTCATTATAACAGCTAAAAGTGTAAAATTCTTAGAAGTAAACATAGTTGTTAATCTTTGTGACCTTGAATTAGGCAACAGTTTAATATGACACTAAAAGCACAAGCAACAAAAGAAGAAAAATAGGTAAATAGGACTTTATCAAAATTAAAAACTTGCATGTCATAGGACACTTTTGAGAAAATGAAAAGACAGTCTACAGGATGGGAGAAAACATTTGCAAATTATACATCTGATAAGGACTTAGTATCCAGAATATATAAAGAACTCCTTCATCTCAACAATTAACAAACAACCCAATTTAAAAATGGGCAAAGGATTTGAATAAACACTCTCCAAAGAAGATATATAAATGGCCCATAAGCACATGCAAAGATACTCCTAACATGAAAAGATGCTCAACATCACTAATCATTAGGGAAATGCAAATCAAAACCACTAGATACCACTTCACATCAACTAAGATGGCTGTAGTAATAGTAATGATAAAAAGAAGACAAGAACAGTGTTTTGGGATGTGAAGAAATTGGAACCCTCCTACATTCCCGGTGGGAACGTAAAATAGTACAACTGCTGTGAAGAACAATTTGACAGTTCCTTAAGTTAAACATAGAGTTACCATGTCAACCACCAATTCCACTCCTACGTATATACCCAGGAGAATTGAAAACATATGTACACACAAAAACTTGTACGTGAATTTTCAAAATATCATTATTCATAAAAGCAAAAAAGTGGGAAAACCTTAAAAATGTCCATCAATTAATTAATGGATAAACAAAATGTGATATATCCAAATAATGGAATATACTTGGCCATAAAATAAATGAAATACTGATACATGCTACAATATGGATGAACCTTGAAAACATACTAAGTGAAAGAAGCTAGACACAAAAGGTATTGTATGATTTCATTTATGAAAGAAGCCAGACACAAAAGGTATTGTATGATTTCATTTATGTGAAATGTTCAGAATAGGCAAATCCATAGAGATAGAAAGTAAATGAATGATTACCAGGAGATGAGGGAAGAGAGAATTGGGAGGTACAGGGTTTCTTTTTTGGCAGTGATGGAAATGTTCTGGAATTAGATAGTGGTGATGGTTGCACAACATCATGAATATACTAACCATTGAATTATACACCTTAAAATGATTTAAATGGTTAATTTTATGTTATGTGAATTTTATCTCAGTAAAAGTTTTTTAAAATAAAGATGATGTGGTACAGTAAAGAGTATATTTGCAAATCTACATTTTTCAATGAAAATATTTAAAATCCTGTCTAGTGAATTCCATGTCTAAATGTATTCTAATCATCTTTCTTTACTTCAGGATGCTAGGAAAGCATGTAATGATGCAACGCTTGTTCAGGTAAAGTTTTTTGTTGGTTTTTTTTTTCCATTTTAATAATTTACATGAAACAGCTTGACACTGATGTAAATGACATTCAGATTCTTCTTATTAGTATATAATTGAAAGAAAAATGAGATCTCTATTTAAAGACACTTTGTAATTTGTAAGATGATGTACAAGTGCTTTTCAAAGCATACGTGTTATAATAGAAGACTATAAAAATAAATACTGTAAAATATGTAGATTCTTATATGTTTCTTTTTAGGTAGCTTCTAATTCTTTTTGATATGCCCTGATTAAGCTTTTTTTCTTATATAAACTCTTCAGAAGTCTTAATTAGTTTAAATTGATAATTTCCATTAAGGAAGTACTTTATGTGCTTTACAAATATAAAACTGACTTTCTTATAGACAGTTAAATTCTAAATGTTTTACTCTTTGATCATCTATTATTAGATTTTTATTTGGGCTTTTTTTTTTTTAACCAAAGTTGGGGGCGTTGTCTATTCTTTTTAGTTAATAGTCTTACAGAAGATATTCTCACTGGAAGGTGTGCAAATAGCATAATTTTAAATTAATGATACTTTTTCTTGAACAACATATTGATCCTATAAATGACTGGAATTATACATATTTATATTAAATTACCTTCAATTGTTACAAATTTGTTCTTTGTTTGCTTTTTTGCCTATTAATTGTTTCTGCTTTATTTTCTGAGCTATAAAGAATAACATTCGTGTCATTTTCTAAAGATCACATCAAATATGGATTCTGTGGGTCGGATACAAATGCGAACAAGACGTACACTGAGGGGTCACCTAGCTAAAATCTATGCTATGCATTGGGGCTATGACTCAAGGTTTGTACCTGTCATTTTCAAGCTATCAGCAGAATTATTTTTGTTACAAATCATCATTTGCATTTTTTTAAACATTTTTTTTATTGTTAAAAACAAGCTATATTTATGAAATATTTGCAGAAAATGCATTCAATATGAATGCTTTGCTTTCACTAAAATGTTCTTTGACACTTTAAAAGTTTAGAAACCTTAACTATGAAAAATACATTTATTTACTTCTCAAAAGTACCCATTATCAGATTATTCAGGTAAACTGTTTAGGATTTCTTTTCTTTGCAGTGGGATATTATACTTTGTTTTTTGATATGCCAAAAGCAGTTCTATTGTATACTAACCTTGAAATTTTAATTAATAAGCAAATATTTGTTGAATGTTGCCATGGACAAGTTACTGGATATTGCTATAATTATTTGTTATCTAAATTCACAAAGGATGGGAGTACATATCTATCTTTAGTACTCAAAATTCCATTTTTCAAGATGCATTCCATTTTGCTCGACTACTGGATTAACTCAACTAGCAGTTATTTGTTTCTCTGTTACTTTCCTATGATGTGATTTTACACCACTCCTCTGACAATTTTCACTTACTTAATTTCTTATAAATATGTGTAAAATATCTTATCTCCACCACGTGGTAAAGGCCAAAGATAGGAGGTATTTCCTGTGTCATACCCATAACACTGCCTCACATTCACAGGCTCTCAGGTGATGTTTTTAGGTTGAATGAAATATGGTTGTTAGGCTTATATGTATTCTTATTGTCATTAAATTTAAATCAGTAAATACTAAACCAATCTGCTAATATCTACCAGCACCTTGAATAAGAACTAGAATATTGTCACTATGAAAATGTTGAATCATAACCAGAGACATTTTTAGTAATATGTCTTCATTTTGCTAAATTTTACGTTATGTTGAAAATGTTGGCATGCAGAATAAATTTTTTAAAGTTGGGAGACTATTTTCTGGTATCACGTTTTTAATTAGAAAAATTACGTTTTTCTTTTCTGAACTATTCTACATGAATACAATGCATAACTAATTTAAATTTCTTTTTTTCTCTAAGTGTCAAATTGTTTTTATTTCTTCTTCTAGGCTACTAGTCAGTGCTTCCCAAGATGGAAAATTAATTATTTGGGATAGCTATACAACAAATAAGGTAGAATTTCTTAATTGTCTTTTAAATAACTGTTTATTTGGTTTAATATCCACCAATTCATTTCCTTACTCTATTACTTCCAACTTTAATTTTCTTCTAAGATTAATTTATTTCATTTATTTTAATCTAGATCCTCTCTTAAGGCCTTGTTGTTTGGTTTTTTTTTTTTTTTAGCTGAGCCATCCTGCCACCTGTTGGCAGCTCCGCGGCTGCTCAGCTCGGGCTGACTCGAACCACTGTTGCTCAGAGCTCAAACTCTTGAGCGAGCTCTTAACCAACTGAGCCACTCAGCCGGCCCTTCTTGTTGTTTGGTTTTAATCTTTAGCCCCTTTTTTTTATTCCCAAGGCCAACTGCAGGGTTATTGTTCAATGTGTTTTACTGGAGTCTCGTATTTTAGAAAAGAGTGTGATTCAGTTTTACACATAAACAATTTAAAAAATTCCCATTTCCTAATGTGACAGTGACCCAGAGATTTTTATTTCTAGTTGTGGGTAAGCTAGAGTGCTAATGTGAAGCTTTTCTTTGGTTCACCCTAAGCATTGATTTGTGTTTCTAGACTGCTCAGAAGCGACAGTAGATTGGAGGCAAATTACAACTTGTTTGGATCTCTGGGTGAAAGCCAGTGGGTCCACCCGATATTGTCCCTGAAGGAATCCCTGATGTAAAGGTGTTGAGTGGTAGTGGAAAAGCTTCAGGAAAACTTTCACAAGTCAAATACCTCAAAAATATGCTTATATCACCATTTTTATTAAAGTTTTAAAAGTACTACTTTGTGAAGGAAATAGTATCTTCAGCCTGGTTTAGATTTTAAAGGTAGCTAAGACAGATTTGTATTATAACAGTTTTTCTATATGAATTGGCATTGAGCATGTCTTTCAAGTATGTTTTCCTAAAACTAAAAGAAAAATTGCCTTTTAAAGTTCTCTGTATGCCTCATTTAGCTTGCTATTCCTCAAGTGATTGGTGTTGGGTAACAAGGCACCAGGCAATGGTGTGAGATCAGTGTAAACTATTACTGTTGTTTAAATTCGAGTCCAGAGTATGTGCCCTGTTATTAGAAGGACCATCTCTTCATGGAAGAACCATTTTAATCAACTCTGATACCAGTATTATTCAGTGTTATGTTAGAGGAAATTCCTCTTTTGAGCACTACTGCAAAAACAATTTATCAGATTCTTTAATATTTTATAGGTAAGATTTCAAATTGCTATATTAGCATCAAAACATCCTATGTTTTGCTTCTCTTAAGAGAATAATTTCTGAAGAGTACTTAAATCCAAATTATTTGATAATAATATTGAAAACATAATAGGTATTTTAGTGTACATTAGTATTTCATGTTTCATTGTTCACTTTCTCAATCCATTGCATTCTTTATTTTTGCTTTAATTTTTTAGATGAATTTCATTTTTAGTAGGATTTGCTTCACTGTAAATAAGTTAGGAAGGTGACTGTTTTTGTAATCTTAGTAATATAGTTTTTGTGCATTGTATTTGTTCTACAGATGCATGCTATTCCTTTGAGGTCCTCTTGGGTGATGACCTGTGCATATGCTCCCTCTGGTAATTATGTTGCGTGTGGAGGACTGGACAACATCTGCTCCATATATAACTTAAAAACCAGAGAGGGAAATGTGAGAGTGAGCCGAGAGTTACCAGGTCACATAGGTGAGCTCTACTAAATATTGTCCTTTCCTACCAAGCTTGACTCCGCCTGAAGAATGGAGCCGATCAAGGAGAATGAGTGATAAATTGTGCTCAACTGGCTAAAGGATGAGTGCTAATCAAGCGGGAGTAGAAATTACTATGAACTAACTTTTTAGTATAACTGATGACCACAATTCTGTTTTTCTTAAAAAAGTATTATTTTGTAGAGATGATAAATTAGTGCAAAAAATTCAAATGATAATGAACAATACAAAAAGAAAGCAAATATTATTTTCTGGGATAGTATTTGGTTAGCAGTGTGAATTAGGAAATTTTGCCATGTATCAGGTTTCTGCATGTTCTAATTCTTGGCAGTACTATTTCACCGTGCTTTTTACAAAATCTCTATCATGGCATTTCCCTGCCATTTCCATGTTTTGAAACATTGGTGAATTCTAAACATTCAAATGCCACCTTTTTCATAAAGCCATCACTGAGGCGATGGTTCTCATTTCTCACCATACTTTTAACCTTTCTCCAAATACTTAATCCTGTCTGCTATGGATCATAGATGATTGTGTAAAGGAGTATCTCTCTCTCAGGTAACTGTAGTAGGTGGAAGGGTCTGTGTCTTACTCCAGTTTGTAAGAGAGTGCCCAACATGATACCACGGACACAGTAAATACCCAAGAGAGAGTTAGTTGAAGTAATTAAAAGTAGAACGACAGATGATACTGACAAACACTTGTTGCCCAAGTATTCGGTTTCTAAGACTATATATGAGTATTTCATATGCTAATTAAGGTACTCAATCAGTGATAACCTAAAATGTGTTTCTCTCTGCCGTAGGCTACTTGTCCTGCTGTCGTTTTTTAGATGACAGCCAGATTGTTACAAGCTCAGGAGATACAAACTGGTAAGTTTATTCCAGAAGAACACTGATTTGGGGGTTGAGGGTGGTCGAAGGAACTAATGTAAGAAGAGATAATAGTCATTATTTTTATTTACTTTTAATCACAGTGCTTTATGGGACATCGAGACCGCCCAGCAGACCACCACGTTCACTGGGCATTCTGGAGATGTGATGAGCCTTTCTCTGAGTCCTGACATGAGGACTTTTGTTTCCGGTGCTTGTGATGCCTCGTCGAAGTTATGGGATATTCGAGATGGAATGTGTAGACAGTCTTTCACTGGACATGTGTCAGATATCAATGCTGTCAGTGTAAGTGAATAGCATTTCTAAGGGAAATTTATTGTGCTTTTAAAGTCCTGAACTCTATAGCATGATTTTCACAACAAATTGCCTTCAAGAGTTCTTATAAATAATATGCTCTTATAACATTGAATCCCTAAATAGTAATGGTTTCATGAAAAAAAACAAAACAGAAAGGTTTTATCCACAGACCTAGGTCTCTCTGTGCAGGTGAGCAATACGTTTTATTTCCCAGTTGAGAGGAATGGATCATCTTAGCAAACAAGTTGGATATCCACAGCAGTGTGTTCAAGCTGTTCACAGTATTCCCTTATTATTCTTTTGATGTCTGTCAAATCTGTAGGATATCTCATTTATGATATTGGTAACTTGTCTGTTTTTTTTTCCTGATTAGTCTGGTGGTGTAGATTGAATTGTATGCCTCCAAAATGTATATGTTGAATTCCTAACCCCCAGTACCTCAGAATGTGATCTTATTTGATAGTAGGGTTGTTGCAGATGTGGTTAGTTGAGAGGTACTGGATTGGGGGCCCTTAATCCAATATGACCTGTGTCCTTAGACAAAGGAGAAAGTCAGAGACAGCAAGCATAGAGGGTTAGCAATGTGAAGAGATACAGGCTGAAGACAGCCATCTACAAGCCAAGGAGAGAGGCCTACCAGATCTTTCCCTCCCAGCTCTCACACACCTGGATATCAGACTTCTAGCCTCCAGAACTGTGAGACAATAAATTTCTTTGTTGAAACCACCTGATTTGTGGTACTCTGTTACAGCAGCCCTAGCAGATGAATACATTTGGCTAGAGGTTGATCAGTTTTATTTATCTTCTTAAAAAAACATCTCTTGTTTTCAGTGATTTTCTTTATTGTTATTCTATTTCATTGATTTTCACTCCGATCTTTATTCTTTCTTTTCTGCTGCTTACTTGTGTTTCATTGCTTTCCTTTGTCTAGTTTCTTAAGGTAGAAGCTGACAACATTGATTTGCAACGTTTTCCTTTTTCAAACACTGGAGCTTAAAGTTATAAATTTCTTTATAAGCATTGCTTTTGGCTACATCTCACAAATGTTGATGTGTTTCTGTGCACTTGAAACAAATCTGTATTCTCCTGTTATTGGGTGGAGAATTTCATAGACATCAATTAGGTCAAGATTGTTGAAAGTGTTATTCAAGTGTTCTGTATCCTTGCTGATTTTTGTCTGTTCTTTCTATTCACTATTGAAAGGGGGGTGTTGAAATCTCTAATTGTGCATTTGTACGTTTTCCTTGCCATCTCTTTGTTTTCGCTTTATGTATTTCAAAGCATGTACCTTTAGGATTGTTATGTCCTCTAATGAATTGATTCCTTTATCATTATGAAATATCCCTCTTTATCCCTGGTAATATTATTTGCTCTGAAATCTCTGCCTGATATTAATAGAACTACCCAGTTTTCTTTTGATTAGTGCTAGCATTGACGTATCTTTTTCCTTCCTTTTACTTTTAACCCATTTGTGTCTTTATATTGAAAGTGATTTTCTTATAGGCAGCAGTTGGGTCTTGCTTTTCTGTAGTCTGATGATTTGTGCCTTTTATTTAATAGTTTAGACCCAAAACTGAAATAAGAGTTGCATTTATAAAGTAGAAAAAATATTATTTGCAGGTGATGTGTTTAGCTACCTAGATATCCCAAGATAGAGTTCAGTGTATTTCCTGTATTAGAAAAACTATTTTAAAATCAGTAACTTTGCTATACCAATAATAGCCAGGTAGAAAATAGAAAGAAAATCCTATGGAGAACAGCAACAACAACTATAAAATAGACAAGGAATAAATTAGCAAGAAATGTGCAGAATCTTTATCATAAAACTTTATTGGTGAACTTTTATTTTTTAATGCCATATTCCTGAATGAGAAGACTGCATATGGTACACCAACCATTTATTCTACCAACTAATGTTCAGATTTAATACAAATTTTAATCAAAACCCAAGTGGATCTTTTTGAGATGAGTCAGGAACATGGAGAAAAGGGACTTGATAAAATGTCTGTGAAACTCAAGTGGAAAAGAGAGGACAGACTGATGCAGAATAACAAGAGTGTTTTGCCATGCCAGATAATAAAATTTACTATCAGGTTATAATAATTAAAAAAAAAAGGCAGTGTGATACAGGTACAAGAAAGGACAGACGGCAAACTCATAACTAACATTTTGGTGTATATAAGACTAGTGAATTAGAGATGTAGCAACAAAATGAGTAAAATAATGATTATTTAATTAACAGCTGGTACAATTGATTAACTATTAAGAAAATTAAGTTAGATCCTTACACTGGGTGCTGTACATCAAATAAATACCAGATGGATAAAAAACTAAGATGTGGAAAATGAAATTATTAAAAAAAGAAGCTAGAAGGAAGTATAATTGAACATGAGATAACAGCCAGGGAAAGGATTTTGTTTATAAAAAGGACGAAAGAAATCTCAGAGGAAAAAAGAAAATTTGACTAAAAATTAAAAATTGCGTTAGTTTTAAAAAGTAAGCAATATTAGAAGGCAAATGATAAACTATAAAATATGTGTAACAAAACAAATTTATATTCTTCATTTCATTCCTACAAATCAACAAATTACACATAAGTACTAACAGCACAGTAAAAAATAAGCAAAGGTCATGAACAGTCAGCAAAAGTAATACAGATGGCCATTAGATATATGGAAAAAAGTTCTTTCCTCTTTATAAAAAAATCAATGTTGAGTAGTGGCCAGTATCTGTGAAAAGGGATTCACAAACTAATAATGGATAGTTTTTGTTGTTGTTGTTTGGTTTTTTTTACTACTAGCGTATCTTTATAACCAGCCTAGCTGGAATGATTCATGTTCTCTCTCATAGAATCTTTCCTATTTATTTCTCATAATGGGATTTTGAAACCTTTCTTTAAGGGTACACATATATAAATTCTATAAATAGTCATATTTGATTTATGTTTTAATAAGACATATGGAGGATCAGAGCCAGTATTTACTGAATACTTGCTATGTGCTAAACAATGGGTTGTGTACTTGGCCTGTTATTCCCTTCAATCCTAACCAACACTCTAAAACTGAGACTAAGGCACAACATGTTTAAGAATCTTTAGTATCCGGTGAGAAGCCAAGGTGGAATTTGATTCTAGGTTTGTTTTACCCCCTAGCCTATTATTACACTGCCTCACATGATTTTTGTACATGTCTATGAAATCAATGTTTGTTGCTTTTCTCTCTAGTTTTTCCCAAATGGATATGCCTTCGCCACTGGCTCTGATGATGCCACTTGCCGTCTCTTTGACCTTCGTGCAGACCAAGAGTTATTACTGTATTCTCATGACAACATCATCTGTGGAATCACCTCTGTAGCCTTCTCAAAAAGTGGGCGCCTCCTGTTAGCTGGTTATGACGACTTTAATTGTAACGTATGGGACACACTGAAAGGAGATCGTGCAGGTTAGTAACACTAAGTCCGCATTAGGTTGTGGGTTTGGTAGGAAATGAAGAGTTCCCATCAGTTGTTTGAGGCCCCTGGAGACCGTGGAGCTGAGGAACGGCAACCCAGCAGTTCTAACTCATGGTCACTGTACCCCTTTGAGTGCAGTCACAGGGCATAAACCAGTTAGATTTCTGTTTTCTGAAGAGTTAACATCTGTTCTGTCATAGTTTCTTGTTTGATACATTTTGATATAAATGTGAACAGTGAATATAATTCGGTGTGGTCTTTTCCAAATTATCATTTTCTTATAACCTGACAGGAAGCATTGTAACTGCTACGAATCATCTTCCTTCTGGAACAGATCTTCACCTGGACAGGACATACTCACTTGTCTTCCCTTTGCAGCTTCCAAAATATTGTTATATATACCGGTACATCGAATGATATTGGGGATGGGCAATAACAAATTACACAGAGTGATTTCAATTTTTTTTTAATTAAAGTTATACTTAAGGAATGGAATAGTTCTACATAGCTTGTGACCAAATCATAGTTCTCTGACCCCCAACCCATATTTTCTGCTTCTGAAGGTAGCTTAACTTTCAGGCATTATCTGTTGAGGGTTCGGCTTTAACACGACTCTCCCCACCACATCCCACGCAACCCCAGCTTCCCATCTTCCAATTTTTCCCATTTTGTTTAAAACATCAGTCAGTGTTTACATAGTTATAACTTTTTAATAGTATTTACTGCTGAGCAATGAGGTATATACTATGATTTCTTTTGCTATGCAGCCCTTTTTACATTCTCTAGGGTTAAATTAATTTTTTGGCTTATATTCTTAGTTTTGATGTACTCTTCACTAATTAATCTTCAGCCTTTCTGCCAATTTTGATATGTCTTGGAGTAGATCCATTTTCATCCATTGTGCTGGGTATTCAGTGGACCTTTTCAATCTGGAAACTTATACCCTGTAGTATTAGAACGTTTGGGGGTTTATTTAATTGCTAGCATTTCTTCTCCAATATCATTCTTTCCAGAACTCCCATTATTCTGATGTTTGACTTCCTTGGATTTTCCTTAGACTTTATTATATTCTATTTTCCATCTCTTTTTTTCCCTTAATGTTCTGGGAGAAATCCTTGCCTTTTTATTCAGTGACCTTTCTATTAAGTTTTGATTTTTCATTTTTGTGACCATCTTTTTGAGATATTTTTGTTAAGGCACCCATTCTTTTTTTCATGAATAAAGTCTCGTTTCTCTGAGGTTACTAATGAAAGCCAATTTTGCAGTTTTCCTCTTCGAGCATAATCTTTCGTATTTTCCAAGTTGCTTTTATTTCCCCTCTTCTTATTTTTTAGCCCCATCCTTATTTTTAGAGTATTTCCTTAAAACTCTGGTCACTCTCAGCTTGTTTCGTGCTTAGCACTGTTTGAAAGCCTTGTGCACGTGGTTGGGGTGTATTGCCTGTAGGCCTCACTGAAGGATAATCTGGCCAGACTTTCATTGGGGAACCGCTGTTAGATCTTATGGACTTTTTTCCCTTGGGCTTAACAAAGTTCTCTGAGATAGATTTTCTACTTTTCTACTTGACATGTAAAAGCTCGCTGCCAGTTTTGGGGCTGATTTCAGCAGGAAATGTGGGGGGCAAAACAATTAGCAAGTAATGTTTCTTTATTCCCCCTTTTCAGCACTGTTTCATCAATCTCAACTGTGCCCATTTTCTCCCTTTTTTGCTCTCTTTAGCAAGTAAGTCTCTAATCTCATGCCCTGTTGCAGGACGATCACTCACCTGACTGAAGAGTGGAGAAAGTTCTTGGGGAGTCTGTTTCTGGACACTTTTTTTTTTTTTTAAGATTTTATTGGGGAATTGGGAGAGAGGAACAGCCAAGTTGTTGTCCTTCAGTCTTAGTTGTGGAGGGCGCAGCTAGCTCAGCTCCAAGTCCAGTCACCATCTGGCCACTCGTCGGCAGCTTGCAGCCTCTCAGCTCAAGGTTCAGTGTTCAATGTCAGTTGCGGGTGGGCATAGCCCACCATCCCATGCGGGAGTCAAACTGGCAACCTTGTTGTTAGGAGCATGTGCTCTCACCAGCTGAGCAATCCTGCCACCTGTTGGCAGCTCAGCAGCAGCTCAGCTTGGGCACAGCTCACTGGAACATGTGGAAATTGAACTGGCGACCCTGTTGCTCAGAGCTTGCGCTCTTAACGAACTGAGCCATTTGGCTGGCCCGCCCCTGGACACTTTCTAATACAGTCCTAGTTTGCCTCAGCGTTGCCCCTACAGGTTCCAGAGAGGCCTCGTACCACTAGTATCTGACCCTTTCGGAGGTTCTGCCATGTAATTTTGTTTCTCGGCTTACCAGACCATTTGTTATGAACTCAGCATTTTAGGGTCCACTGAAACAGTTCCTACCATCCAGTTTATAAAATTTTGTTGCCATTGCCTGCTCTCATATCCTCACTGCCCTTGTGGGGTTTTGTCCTTACCCATTTAAACTCCTATACAGTTGTTGAGGTTTCCAGGGGAGTGAAAGGAATATCAACATCCCCAGAAATAATTTTCTACAACCTAGAGATTGTAGAAAAGTTCACAGTTTGCATTTTGCAAGTATACTTTTGCAGATATTCTGTTGTCCAAAGCCAATTACGTGTTTTGCCTGGATCAAATCAATTAGTATCCATAACAAAACAAAAATGTGTTTGTTTTCCTTATTTTTGAACATACACTTGAGTTTTAGCTTTGCTTTGCTTACTGGTTGGTTTTAAGGTGGCTCAACTGGATACTTTCACCTTAAAGTTGAATCGCTGCTTATTCTCATACTAATGCACTGTCCTTTCCAGTGTGTCTTGGAGTATTTAGCCACAGTTTTCATTTTTGTTATTTTAACACATAATGATAAATTTGCCCATTGCCGTGTTACCATACTGGACGTGCTACAGAGACTATTAAAGAGTTAGACAAGATGAACTTCTGTTCCTGAGGTTGGATGAAAATGCTTGATTATATATAGAGAGAACACAAGCTCAAACACAGTATTAAAGAAAAAATTCTTGTGAGAATTTGATACATTCTATTTTCAAAAATCTTTACATTTCTCATTTTCCTTTCAAATATTTGGGAATATTTCATTTTATCCTGTGTGGTAATCAGAATGTTGAGATTAATATACAAAAGAAACTAAACCTAAATTGGTTTGATGGTTTCAGAAAATTATAATCAAAACATTCCAGCATTTGGTGGTTAACAGAAGTAAATAAATTATGTTGGTATTTTTGGAAGTGGTGATATAAGGCAACTTTGTTCGTTTGTTTTTGTTGTTCTTGTGGTAAAAGACTACTTCACTGAACATCATTTAAAAGTTTGTTTTTGTTGAAAATAGCATAGCTCAGTGGCAAAATACGGAGGGGTATCATGAACTTATTAGAGATGTAGAATACTAAATAGCCTATATCTTTTCCTACATATAAGAACACATAATTATGAAATAGTTTTTCAAAATGAGTAACACGGTTTGATGCGTGTGCCAAAAATTCGTGCAGTACAAAGAATTGTACTTTACTTATATGTCCAGCTTATCCCCGCACTCAGTTCCCTCACTCAAAGGAAGCACTCTTCCTGATTGTTGACACATACACGTGTTTAATTCAAACACTTGCCCGTTGCTAACTTTTTATTGAACTTTTGTTTTTCAGGCGTTCTTGCTGGTCATGACAACCGTGTCAGCTGTTTGGGTGTAACTGATGATGGCATGGCTGTGGCAACAGGCTCTTGGGACAGTTTTCTTAGAATCTGGAATTAACAGTGCATACAAATTTTCTGTTTTCCATTGATATCTGGAGAAATCAGTGCTACAGCCCATAGCTGTGAAAAAAAATTCTACCTTATATTTGCAGGTGAAGATTTTTCTATTGAGATTATTATATAGAAAAAGCAGCTTTCAGTAAACTACAAAACAAAAAAAGATGAAAAAAACAAGGCAAAGGTGCTTGCTGAGATCAAAAGGACCAGTGTATTAATTTGAGGAGTTGAGCTAATTTAACCTTGATGAATTTTTGCTTTTCTAAATTTAATTATTTTCTTTGTGTAGAACAACATGTACACATTATAGTAACCTATCATGTTGGTATTTGCATTTTTAAAGAAGTACATTTTTAACTTTGTATACATAAGAAATGTCACATTTTTGAGTTTTGTAATGGAGAAACCAGGCACAGTAATAGATGGCAGTAACACCATATGTATGTGTCCTCATGTTTCAAGAAAGTCTCCTTGAATTCTAACCTTCCTTTTTAATCTAAGAGAGATTCTGGTTGCTTAATGTTTAAGAATACCAACAGCTAGGTACCTCTGAGGGGAGTCCTTTTGAGTATCATTAGTTTCTGGTGCATCCTTTGCCATCCTGTTAATTTAAATAAGTGCTCAATTTCAGTGCTTTGAGGGGGAGATAATCAGAAGGCCAGGGAATAGGATTTCATTCTGAAATTTTAGCCATATATAAGAAACTTATTATATAAATAGGTAGACAGCAATCACATATAAATGGTTCTTGGCATTTTAAAAAGCAGATTATGATCAAATGACACTTTAAGTAGCCCTGTAAACAGTGAGACTTTCCTATTGATTTCAGATTCTAGAACTGAGTTTGTAGAGTGTACTCATTTCAGAACATTCATCGATGAACATTTGGATTGTCCTTGAATCTGAATAATTTTTCTGAATTTCTCCGTCACAATGTATCTAGATAGGAAATATGACAGTGTTGCATTTTTCAAAGTGTAAAATCTGGCCAGTCATTAGACCTGATTGGTTATAGTTGTAACATGGTGGTGTTATGAATTTAAGTTCACATAATATAAAATCTGAATTGGTGTAAATTGTGACTTCAAAGGGAACCTTTTAAAAAAGGAAATATTCAAGCTCTGTGCTCTTCTGTTGTATTTCTTCCCTTAGCACAAAATACTGGTTTCTAAGTGGCATGGCTTTGCTTAAAAAAATAGCTAGACCCAAGCAACTCCATTTTAAGTCAAAAGAAAAAGTCTAAGGCAGTTCTTAGGAAAATACTGAGTCAGAGGAAAATACTAAGCAATTCATTTCCCTGCTTGTCAATGGTCTAATAATGTGTCTATTACTAGAAAGGGCCCTCCTACTTTTAAACAAAAATATTTTTCCCCTTAGATTTTCTTCTACAAATAAATCTAAATGATTGACAATGGAAGATTGTTAGTCTTGCTTGATGGTGAAGTCACGGGTTGTTCTGATATATAGAAGTGCATTGTGTTTTGTTAACTCAGTCAACTGTTAGTTACTGGTGAGATAGGTCTCTAACTTTTAAGATCACCTGTAACCCTAACCTAAATACTCCTAAATTTTACATGCCAATTTTCATTTTTATATTGTGAATATGCTAATAAGTATATTATTCACCAACTATAATGAAGTCATTGTCGGTTTTGTTTAATACCAAGTGACAATAAAAAGAATAAAATAAAGGAAGATTAAGATACAGGACCCTAAAAAGGTGTAAATGGCAGTCAAGAATGTATATTTATACACATAGATTTCTATGAACTTTTTGCTGTTAATGTTTGTAGACTATATCACTTCATAAAGAGCAGCTCTTTTACGGTGAGAATATTTTAAAGGAACATACTCATTTCCAAAAGAAAGGGAGGGGGTGAGGGTTTGCCATGTAGTTCAGCAATTCGTTCCAAAATCCTGTTCAAGAAAGCACTTCTGCTACGTGCAGAATAGCCTTATATAGAGTATCTCCTGTACTTTGAAAGTTATTCTAGGAACAAGATAGTCACAGAGGCACAGACTACAAGAATTCTATGATCTTAAACATGTTGATAAAAATCATTTAATGTTGATTAAAGTTCCTGTAAATAGTTTTAAAAGCAATTCTCATAATTAAATATGTACTAGGCAACTGAAAACTACCAAGATTGTGGCTAATAATACATATGACCAAATGATGACCTCATTGCCACATTAACTTACTAGCTTGCTTTTGAGTGCTGTGCGTTCCAGTTGCTAAATATATTTACTTGCAGTTTGAGTTCAGTTGGTTGTCTATGTAATTGATTTTTGTAAGACTTCCTGAAATCAACAAGAGTGTATAATTTGAAAAATACTGTATAGTTTCAATCTTAGTTTAAGACTTAAAAATATGGCCAAATGTACTTTTAGGGAATTTGCATCGTCAAGAATATTGCAGTTATGTGATGTCTATTAACTTTTTTTTACCTTAAAAGATACAAATACCATATTTTCCCATGTATAAGACGCTCCCATGAATAAGACACACCTTAATTTTGGGGCCCGAAATTTGAAAAAAAAAATGTATTACATGAAGTTTTTGAACTCATTTATTCATCATAAAATTCATACAACTCATCACTGTCAAAACTCCCAACCATTAGCTTGTCCTCATCTGTGTCTGATGACGAATCACTCTCTTCATATATTGCCTCGTCCTCAGTTCCATCTATGGCATTTGAAGTCTACAAGCACTGTATAAGACACACCCAGTTTTTAGACCCCAAATTTTTCGCAAAAGGGTGCGTCTTATACATGGGAAAATATGGTATGTGCCTCAGCAGGTTAATCTGTACTGTTTAATCACTTCATAAAGAGTAGTTTTTAGAGATCTGGCAAGAATAAAGGCATATATTCTTTTCTAAAACAAAGTAATAAATAGTGACCTGCCATTGTGATTTACCAAATCATCCCAAAACCTGCTCAAGAAAGCACGTCTTGCTACCATGAGCTAGGTCTCTCCCTAGCTCATCTTTTTATAGCTGTGATTCCGTGGTTACACACACCATACTGAGTTCCATCTTCACACAGGCAAAGATTTCAACTACAAGAGAGACTAGGAGGTGGTTCTTGTTTAAATTTAGACTCAGCTGAACTGAGTAATACTGCATGATGATAGTACTAGACTCCTAGATATGATGGATGTAGGTGCTTCTGGAATATGGGGTAAGCAATTTTCAAGTTAACCTATTTAAACAGAAATGGATCTTGATGTCTCCAAGTGACAAAAAGACATTTTTAGTGTTAAGAAATACTGTATCAATATTATATAACTGACCTTTTCCAGTACTTTTGAGATCTTAGATTTAATAATAAATTAAGACTTTACCTGCTTTAAAAGTGAAAACCTTCAGGGAAATTTATGCTTTGATTACTGGTGAAATGTCTCACATTTAAAATCGTAACACAATTGAATACTTATGGCTTGTGTTTAAACTTCTGGAAACTGATTAAACAATTTCCCAAGTGGGCCTATCATCATTTTAATCATGATGTCCTTTCTAGAATCTTTAGGGTGTGAGTCAGGCTAAAAAAATTTAATTAAGTACTATGCTTAGCTTCTAGTTTCCTTTTAAAAGGCCCACAAGCTAGACCATCTTTCTTGTGAGAAAGGGTAGCAGAATGAATCAAGTTGGTATTTTAAATTAGATTAAGTAGAATGTAAAGTACACTTCATATTTTCTAGTTTTTCTCCCACTGTTCATTTTGAGTTGCCTTAAATTCAGTGCTATATTTAGAAAGATACTGGTTCCCATAGGTACTCATGAAAATGGTTTGTAGTTGAATGTCTAAGCTAGCACTGTGTTTTAAAAAGTAATTTATTAATCAGATTGATGGTACACCTTGTATTTAGCAAATCTGTTTGCACGTTAATAAAATTTCTAAGTTTCTTTCTTAAATCCAATTATTGATCCTATAAATGTTATGATGCTGCAGCATTATGAAAAAACTGGTTGTGTTTTAACTGGTGTTCAATGTGCCCCACAAAAATCTTACATCATGTATTTTTCTTAATAGAAAACTTCAACGATATACCGGTAGATATTTTAAGCCTGTCTTTTATACAATGGTGCTCTATCCTACTATTTTCTTTTCAAAGAAGCGTCTGAACACTTGTATTTGCATCTTCTTATCCAAAGGCACCCACATCTAAGTGGGTTTATAAAGTTAATAAAATGTTTTTCTTCACCTAGAATGGTTTCTACACACTTGTGGCCAATAGACTCAGAACATCAGTAGTATGACTATGGGGAAGGTGAACCTACTAAATTAAAGCTCTTATAAAAGCTTTAAACCAAACAAATGATGGATTTGTACCATGATTTAACAGTATTCTTTGATCTTTCTTACACAGTGATTCATTCCTTTATTTGTACTGTAGCTCTGTGAAATAATATTGCTGTGAATTCATATTGTAATCAATAAAGTACTTTAACCAGATTTCAGATAGCATGTTTTAAGTTAATTTTAGTAGACTGAGTCATTATTAAGTCTCAGAACTATCCTCCAAGCCCAATATTTCATGCTCAGCCCTGGTTCCTTTATCTAAACATTGGCCATGGGCTGCCGGAGCAGGGACGAGATTGGAGTGGTCCTGACCCTGTACTTTAAGAACTATGTTAGCTTACTCTTCAAGGGCCACAGATTTTCATTAAAAGGCAAAATCAAGTCATTCTTTCCCTGGAGCTCCCTTAGGATAACTTAGTTTCCTTCTGTGTAATTTTTAAGTAAACAATTCTATTGCTTATACTACTGGTTAAGTTTTTACTTTCATCACCACAACCTTGTGGGAGGATGATTAAGACTTTCAACACCAGGCCAGGTGTACTAAATGAGTTAAAATCAAAAGACGATCCAGTCTACCCAAGGAGCTTATACACCTCCCGTAAAAATTAAGAGTAAAACTCACTAAATGCCAGTATAAATGCTATATTTATCAACTATCAGGCAAACAGGTTTTATTTTTACCTTATAAGCTTGCATACTTATAAAATAGTAGTTTGTAAAAAGTTTGAGGTTATACAAAGTTTATAAATAATCCTGCAACACACATAGTTGAACAATAACTCTGAACTACATCAGCTGTAAATTACATAATTTCTGTAGAATTCACGGGCTTGGCCGTAGGTACACTTACCTCTAGGCATAAAGATTGAGTTTCATTATTTTAGTGTTCCATTTCCAACATTCATACATTTTCAAACTTGACCAGGTGGAACTGCATTCGAACTAGTGATGGAAAACTTACTACAAACTTACTATACCAGGACTACAATTCCAGACGTGCATTGGGATGACCTGGGGGACTTGTTACAATATAGGTTTCTGGTCCCCAAACCTAGTGTTTGATTCAGTAGGTCTGCGGTGGGATCCAAGAATGTGCATTTCTTACAAGTTTACTGTTGATCCAGGGATCAAACTTGGAGAACCACTGAGGTATGCTAATGAGGTGAGACCAAACCATTATGCTGTTAAGTTCAAATACTTTGTATAAAGATTAAGGCCTTGAACTTGGAACCTAAATTAGCAGTAAGCAGTCTCAGGCATCAGTGTCATGTTGCAGGTGTTAACGTGATCCCACGTGGTAGCTTGTACCATCTTTTGGTTATAAAGCAACAACAAAAGCTGTAAATTAATATTTATTTGACACTGCATCCTATTATCTGACTGGCATAAAAAATATTTTTGAAAGGCTTTTATGTTCTAAATAATGTTGCACCTGTTGTGAAAAGACAGAATAGCATCCAGGAGCCTTAAAGGCACAGAAAAGGAAGTACTGAGTATTAGAAGAGCTTGAAATGCTATCCTTCCCATGGAAAAGAAGCATGACTACACTTGGCCAAATGCACTGTGTCCTCCGTGATTGTGCATTTCTAACAAGCATCTAGGTGATGCCAATTTGGTGGTCCTCAAGACTACATTTTGCATAGCAAAGCCCTAGAATGTCATTTTTTAATGTTTCCACATTAAGTTTCAATTAGTTTTAAACACAGAAACACAATACTTGAATCCATAAACATTTCATTAAGCTAAAAAATACAGTGATAATTTTTAACAGTGCCCTGGCAAATTCATACAATTAAAAGTAAACCCACCAGGGGGCAGGGTGCAGGGAGAAGGGGTGGGGGGAGCAATCCAGCAGTTCAGCCAATACCTTCTGAAGAACAGTCTGTATACAACAGTAACCACCCCAAACTCAAACCTCCCATATCTTTGGCTATTTTTATCACTTCAAACTTTAGTCCTAATACTGAGATAGGAAGCTTTCTTTACTGTGGTCACAGCAGAAGCTGGAAATGTTTCTTGAGAAACATATCAGGAAGCTATTTAGACCCAGATACTTTTAGTAGAGGCTATTTAGAATAAATTTATACTGCTTTACATCAGTTTTAATGGGAATAAAAGGAATAAAAACAGCATATTTATTAGTGGTTTATATACCTACCAGAATGGCAAGCGACTGTAACTTGCATAAATAACACAAGAACATTCCACATTCTCTCTTGGTGGTTAGAGCACTCAATGCAGTTTATAAAAGAAAAAAAGTGACTATTCCCATTAGACATCAAAAATTAGTTTTGAGAAAGATGAAAGGAGTATTCTCTAACTCCTGGATGCCAGGAAGCAGTTTTTCAGTATCAGAAACGAAGAAAGCCCTAATTAAGAGCAAGGCCCCACCCCTCAGGGGTCACACAGTTGGTTCTGTTGCTTTTAACTAATTCATTACTTTAACACATCCAACAATTTCACCTTTTCTTTACCCAAAATTAAAACTCAAGAGACATCATAACACTCTTTAGAAATGCAAACACCCTGAGATAGATCATTACCAGAATCTACACAAGAATTTGCTATTTAGGTACAGTGAGTACAATTCATATGTAGTCATTTCATAAAAATAACTGTCCCAAATCATCCAAGTTCCAGTCTCCTATGATGATCACCAAAGCGATCTCTATGGTTAAGATTCGTCTTCATTGCTTGAACGTAGAAACTGCTTAGTAAAATTCTCCAGCTCATTTTTAAGTTGAACAGCTTTATTTCTAATTAAAAAAAAAATGAACAAAACCATCTAATTATCATAAAGGTCAGTGAGAAAAAAATGCATTCCACCTAACCTTAAAAATAAAAAAACACTAGCCAGCTGCTGCTACATTTACCTGAACTCAGATTAAACTATTAACAACCCTTTTTTAGAGTATTTATTATATGTGCTACTATAGCTTTACAGTAAACACAGGTTCCGATGTCCAGGACATAAAAGAATGAAAAGCATAGGAGGCAGTGGAGGCGTATCACCTTACATGGGAGTTATAGCCCAAGTCACGTACAATACTAGAATCATACTTGATGCAGACAAATGCCAATAAAAAGAGGAAAACAGGAACTAAAACTGACAGAGAACACAGATCTGTGTGTCCCATTCTCATAGTAGGCCAGGACACAGACACATACTTAAATGAGCTTCTCCCTTTCTTTTTATCTTGGTCTTTTCTTTTGTTGTTGCGTGCATATGCTCGAGGTCATGTAAGTTAAATGTACACATGAATGCCACTGTATATTTCTTCAGACAATCTCCTTAAGTACTAAGTAAATTAAATTCTATCTGAATGGCTGAGCCTTAGCTAGTAACTGCAGATTGCAACTATTATGGTATTTGTTATTTAAAATTTTCCTGTTAGAAAAAGGAAGAATTAGCAGATCAAAAATATTCATACTGATCAAGTCAGTCCTGCCAACATCAGGGAGCTACATAAATGACAATAATCTGTTTTATCATTTATGTTTTCCTATAATAAGATGAAATGCCATTTAAAAACCTACCTAGGTTAACAAAAAAACTTCCATTGGATATAGTTTCACCAAATTTCAAAGGCTGTATCTGGAATGATCTTACCTAAAAGAGCAATGGAATATTTGGAATTCACTTGGGTGTGTTTGGGTGTATGGAAGGAGCTGAGGTCCAAGGGACAGGTAGTCATCTCCAGAGATACTGAAACTGATGTTCAATGAGAATGTGACTGCTGATCAGATTAAGACACCATTGAGAGATACTACCATAGTGAATACATGTCCCCAAATTCAGGTTCCAAGGGCAGTCTCTCCAATTTGCAGGCATTGCAAACCGCTCTTATATGGGGGATTGTATGTGGCATGTGCCCTGGTAAGTAGCAGCAGGAATTAAATGATGCTTAAGGATTCTCCCAGACTCATAAACCAGCAAATGGGTAATAAAGCTGAAAGTTAAGAACTGCCACTGAGTACAGACCATCTGGTGATACTTCTGGTCTTGTAACCAAAAGCAAAATTTATTTATACCCCAAAGAATCCATGATAAATCATATTAAACCATAATTCCACATTATAGTAGGATATTTTGTTTACTTTTGTTGCTTCAAATTTAAGTATACTCAATAGTCCTGAGTAAGAATGGAAGTTATGGGTCTTGGATATACATGACTAAAAACTCATACTTTTAATTACAGAACTTGTGCTCTCAAAAGGGACTAATATAGCTTAAGAGAGTTGTAAATTTAGATTTAAAAAATTCTATTTACTTCAGATGTTTTTTCTTGTTGAAATTAGCTTTCATTGAAATTGCAAAACTATGCAATTAAATATGGGATGACAAAAAATGGTTCAAATACCTTAAAAGCTTTGAATTATTTTGTATTTCCTCCAATTGATCGATCTCTTTGGAAAATCTAGCAATTTCTTCTTCTAGATGTTTTTGTGTAATATCAACTTGTTGGCACAGACGAGCAAAAGTGGTTGCCATTTCCCTTAAAATAAAAAACATTTTATCAGCAATCAGAGTGTCTTTTAAAATAAATAGGCTTTCATTTAAAGCTTATAAAAAGGAGATCACAAGATAAAAAACACTTAAAACATAAGGTATCAAAGAATAAGAACAAGGTGCTAAGAATAGTGTGGGGAGGGTATGGCACTTGTGAGCTTAATGACTGTGGGCTTAATTTCATCTGGCCTCAAGACGAATGCTCAACAGGCGATATTACCTCTGCTACATGTTATGAATATTAAAAGATATAAAAAGGCAAGAGATGGGTATATTTCTTCAGATGCCTTACTTTTGTCTCCTATTCATAAAAATAATTACTGAGACCAGGAAAAACTTCATGAACTCCTATAACTTAGGCAAAAATACTTTAAATCATGGCAACATTTAACCATACATCTAGAACCAATAGGTTACATTTATTTTGTTTGCTAGTTAATATGTTAGCATTGGCAAACATTATGTTTATATGTTGCAACTGGGAGCATGCCTAGTAGGTGTCTATCTCTAGACTATGATTAAACAACTTTCTCATCTTCCTCTTCAACTATTCTTCTGTGCATCTTCGTCTTTGCCCTGGTCTTTTTCCTCTCCATTCTCTCCACATCCCACCAATTACCAATATTAGACAAATGAAGCATCTTTCATTATTTTAATATTTTATTAAGTTAATATTTTGTCAATATTATTTTAACTGAGTAATTAGTTAAGGCTGCCTCCATTAGAGTGTAAAGTCCTCTAAAGAAAAGGATCAAGTTATCTTTAACTTTTTTTTCCCCATACCTCTAGCATAGTTTTCATCACATGGTAGGCAATTAACAAATGTTTGATGATCAGATGAATGGAAAATTTCATTAATTTTGTTTTTACATAAGTGAACCTCAGCTGCTTTCTGTTGGAGGTCCAGGTATCTTCCTTAATATTAAAATTATATAAAATAGCTCAATTAATATTTGGTGAATGAATGAATGAACTAAATCAGTGGTCTCAAATCCATGCCCTCATTGTTTCCATTCTCTATAGCTCTATGTTGGAACAGGCTTTCATCTTGTATCTGAAACAGTATAAGCTCCCTGCAAATTCTTGTCTCCTTAATCTAAACCATTCTACATCACACCATTGCAAAGTTATTTGTTCTAGAGCTAAATATTAACGACTTAACTCCCAGGAGTCCTAATTATCCAACCCCCTGCCCTAGAGTTAGGTTTATACTCGAATGTACCCCCCTTATATACACAGCTCTCACTGAAATTCTCTCATGTTTCTGAACACATTCCTTTTCCCCTACCCTCTTGCCTTCAGTTTGAGTTTTCTATGCCTAGATCGTCCTATTCTGCACATTCTACCCCTCCTCTAGGAAACCTTTATTGATCCACTATGCTTCATGATTTGATTCTAGAGCCTCACATTATGAAGCTATCATATTACTTATCACATTTTATTATACTTACGTACATTATTTCTTCTATTAACTTGTAATTGTCTTTAGCTCAGAGAACTTTTTAATTCACCTCTCAGTAGCATTAAAATACAGAATATTATATGCACTGACTTAACTGGAGTTCTACATAGTTTTACTAAATCAATGAAACAAGTATTTAAGATACATGAAAGAAGACACTCAGTGGACCCAGGTATTTATTATAACAAAATGTGTTCGCATTGTGGTAATTTTTTGAGCTATATTCTTATCAGTGCATTGTTTGCATATATGTCATACTTCAACAAACTTTTTTTTAAACCAAAGATGAAGCGTTCAACTTACTGTTGTACTTGATGGCTACAGTTTGCACTCGTGAAGCTAACAATCATCTGCAGCTTTTCAGTTGCGTAGTTCACAAACTGCTGTTTAAAGGCTCTCTCCTTGGCACGGGTGGTCCAGGCCAGCCTTTCATAAAGATACAAAGCTCCATACATACTTAATGAAACAGATATGAGTTTCCAGCCAACAGTTTTCCAAATCTGTAAGACAAATTTGCAGCTTAGTTTGAGAAAGAAAAACACCACTAGGGAGACTGTACTAAAAGGCATTTTAGGAAACTCATCAGCTCCCTACAGATCTTTGAGTCAGATCCACTTTTTAAAATGTATATTCCTTCTCTGAAAATCTGAAGTAATCAGGAATCAAACAAGCTGAAAAAGGAACAGCACATAAATATCAGGCAAGAACTTTTATAACCTGTCAGACATTTGGTAAGTTGATTCAATGTTTCTCAAAAAGGGAGGTTAATTTCTTTTCGGTCAGGGGTTTCAAAAACCAAAACATGGGGGAGCCAGTTAGCTCAGCTGGTTAGAGCTCAGTGCTCATAAAACCAAGGTTGCCGGTTCGATCCCCACATGGGCCACTCAGCTGCACCTCCACACCTAGATGAAATGACTATTGATTTGGATCTAATGGGTCCCGGAAAAACACACTGTTTCCCAATAAAATTTAAAAAACAAACAAAAACACATAAATATATATTGTTAATGATATGAAAATTTAATACATAAGAACTGATTACTAGAAAGTCATCATTGATAGTTGAAGACAGATCTCTTTGGTATTCTGAGAATGCTACATAAGAAACCTGGATCATTCTTGTTACTCTATGTACAAATATCATTTCTTTATGTGCTGTCAGTCAAAAACAGTTAGAAAGCACTGTTTTAATGACCAGCTAGTTGGTGGTATTTCTTTCCTAAAGATGTATTTTTAAAAAATGTATGTTGTGGTAATTATTTCACAATACACACATATTTTTATCAAATCATTATGTTGTTCACCTAAAACTAATACAATGTTATGTCAATTATATTTCAATTTAAAAATAAACATTTTTTAAAAATTTAAGACTAGGCTTGTTAAACTCCATTCACTGATTTTAACCTACAACTTTTAATGTTATTTTATAGATCCTGTAAATAGAAGTAAATATACCTTTCTCTTTGTGATCTAGCAGACAGCTTTGCAAAAATTTCAATTTTCATTATACTAAAAAGTATTGCTTCTTACCACTCCTCCAACAACGATGATGCCCATAGACGTTCTAGATGTAAGAGAAGCTAATCCTGTTATTAATGTAATCATGAGCTCTTCCTGTGATGTATTATCCGGCGTTGCTGGATTAGTAGGAGCAGTAGGAGTAGAAGCTAAAGATCTGGGGAGCTAACATGGTTGGGAAAAAATGATCATCACAATTAAACAACTACAAATGAAACAGTTACATTTATACAATTCTGTTGCATTTCTTTTAAAACTATAGTAGTAAATCAATGAAAAGAACAACTCCAGTTAGTGAATTTACCATAAACATATGAAGAAAATATGAAAATGGTCTGAAACTTATTTTCTATACCAATATCGTAAAAAAAATGAATTTTCATAGTATACAATGAGTCTATCTATAACAATAGGCCCTCAACTCTTAAGAGAAATTAAAACTATATTTAAAAATTTTCTTCACACCAGAAACACAATCCTTTAAAAAAATAAATTGGACTTCAAAATTAAACTTTTACACTTAAAAATACATCATAAGAAAATTAGAAGACATCTAAACCACAGACTACAAAAACATATTTGGAAACCACATACCTGATAAAGGACGCTTATCTAGAATATATAAAGAACTCCTACTAGTCAATAAGAATAACCCAACTAAAACTTGGGCAAATGATTTGAATAGACATTTCATAAAACGAGATACATGAATAGCTAAAAGAACATGAAAAGATGTTCAAAATCATTAATCATTAATCATTAGGGAAGTACAATCAAAACTACAATGAGGTAACACTTCACATGCAACAGAATAAAAAAGACAGCCAACAAGAAGTCTAAATGAGAACGTTGAGAAACAGAACCTTAACACATTGCTGGTAGGAATGTAAAATAGAGCAGCCACTTTGGAAAACAGTTTGGCAGTTTTTCAGAAAGTGAAACATGGATTTGCCAGATGGTCCAGCAATTTCACTCAAGACAAGTGAAAACAGATGTCCACATAAAAACAGTACATGAGTGTTCATAGCATCATTTTTCATAATAGTCAAAAAGTACAAACAACTCAAATGTCCATCAACTGATCCACGGATAAATAAAATGTGTGATATGTATGGTGGAATATTATTCAGCCATAAAAAGAAATGAAGTACTGATATAGGCTAGAGCACTTGTGTACAGTGACAAAACTTGAAAACATTATGCTAAGTGAAATAAGCCAGTCAAAAAAATGACACATTTTTTAAACTCATTTTATAGGAAACATCCAGAAAGGGCAAAATGATGGATATAGAAAGCTGATTAGCAGTAGGGCTGGAGGTGGGAATAACAACTGACTACAAAGGGGCACAAAGTATCTTCTGGGGTAACAGAAATGTTCTAAAACTGGTGATGGTTTTACAACTCCATAAATTTTCTAAAAAATTGATTAATTCAAAAAAGATTTTTAAAACACTTACATTAATTCCAATTTATCTTAAGTTTGAAAACAAAAACTTTTAGAGCCGGCCGGGCGAGTGGCTCAGTTGGTTAAGAGCTCACTCAAGAGTTGAGCTCTGAGCAACAGCAGTTCGATGCCTGGCCCAAGCTGGGCTGCCGCTGAGCTGCCAAACGGTGGCAGGATGGCTCAGCTAAAAAAAAAAAAAAAAAAAAAAGTCTGAAAACAAAAACTTTTAAGAAACTAAAAAGTTTCAAAAATGAATATATAATGACCTGAAACAGTACAGGATAAAAACTTTGGAATTGGCTTTCCCTTATTCATAGTATACCTAATTCACAAATGGCTCTGTGACAGATACTACCTCATAAATATGCAAATTTGACACAGGTAGTTGTATTAGAGAAAATCACATAGCAAAATGAAAAAGGAGATTCTCAACTAGTAGAATCAAAGTCACCTGTGTAGTAGTACCAGCAATAAACACCTGATAAAAAGCCTAATCTAAACAAACAAAAAAACCCCAAAAAACCATACCTGAAAAATAGGCTCTGATAATCCTAGAAGCACCCTCTGAGCATTCGTAGGGCCCAAGAAACGATGGACAAGTGAAGACCAGCCCAAGGAAAAACGAAATACAATATCCTCTTGAAAATCTGAACATAACTTGTGGCAATTTAGGTCATAGCTGAGATCAAATTTCTTGCAAGGAATCAGTGTGTGTAGTTTATTCTGTACACCAGCTGGAAGTAATGGCTTCAAATTTTCTAGAGCAAACAAAATTATGATATTTACTATAAGAAACAATAGTAAATCATGTTTTACACTTTATAAATACCTCTACCAACAGAATAAAGAAACTATACATGAACTTGTAGACATAAATATTACCAATAATTTCCTGCTGGGATTGAAGCATTGAAGTGTTGACTTCATTGGTGCACCGATCAGCCAAATTTCTTCCCATACCATCTTCTATGTGCTTATTTAACTCCTGTTAAAAAACAGTAAATAGTAAATGTCCACATTATTTTTTTCTAGAATATAAGCAGAGTTTATAAAACTTTAAAAGTGTAGTAAGCACTAAAATGATCTTTTTCTAAGAAGATAACTTTTCTGTGCACTTTATATACAAGATAGTTTACATTTATTACAAGAGTGCACAGGGGGCCAGCTGAGTAGCGTGTTGGTTAGGAGTTGGCTTGGGACGCCAGCTCTGAGCAGCAGGGCCCAGTTTCAGATCCCACATACGAGGGCCAGTGACGTGGCATCCTCTACAGCTAAGATGGTGAATAGCAGCTCGACCTGGAGCTGGGCTGCCGTGAGTCGCCAACCACGCCATAGGCTGCAGGGGGGCTGGCCGGCAATGGGCGTGAGCTTTCATGAGCTCCCGTGAGCTGCCGTGAGCGGCTGTCCAATGGCTGGCGAGCAACTGCCTCACCCGGGAAGAGTGCAATGATAATACCAACATGAGCCAGTGAAGTGACATCCTCCACAACTAGACTGAAGAACAAAAGGACAGCAACTTGTCTGTTCCCCTCCCCCAACTCCCCAATGAAATCTTTAAAAAAAGAGTGCACAGGAGATGTTAACAGTTCAATCATGTACTGATTGCCATAAAGACACTAAAATGAACAAACCACTACATAAGAGTATAGAATAAGGTGAGGAAACTATCTGAAAAACTTTTAACTATACTTTAACTTACTCACAGTTTTATATACTTTCAGTACACTTGGAGTAGGATGAAACTCAGAACAAAATTCGTCAACCAAAACAGAGAGTCGACAAATTTCATCTGTCATTGCACATGAAACCTGAAAATATGAGAATCAAGAGTAAAATATTAAACAAGATTATCAACCACTCAAAAAATCAAACTGAAAAAAACTTTACAAAATAGGGAAAGCAATAGGAATAACACTTTTAGCATTATCAAAAACATTTCCAGGGCTGGCCAAGTGGTGCATTGGTTAAGAGTTGGCTTGGGACGCCAGCTCTGAGCATTAGGGCCCCGGTTCGGATCCCACATGAGGGCCAGTGATGCTGCGCCCTCTACAGCTAAGATGGTGAACAACAGCTCGACCTGGAGTTGGGCTGCTGTGAGTTGCCAGCGATGGCATAGGCTGCAGTGGGCTACTGTAAAGCTACTGTGAGTGGCTGGCAGCCAGAGTGAGCGGCCGGCAGCCAGAGTGAGCGGCCGGCAGCTGGCGTGAGCTGCCAAGAGCTGCAGTGAGCAGCTGTCCAGTGGCTGGCAACCAATCTGCCTCACCTGGGAAGAGGGCAATGATAATGCCAACATGGGCCAGTGAAGTGACATCCTCCACAACTAAGACTGAGGAAAAGGACAGCAACTTGTCTGTTCCCCTTCCCCCAATTCCCCAATAAAATCTTTAAAAAAAAAAAAAATTTCCATTCCCCGTTTTTTAACCACTGTTACCCACCTTGTTTGCCACCTCCTCTGTAACCTCCTTGATTTTTTTCTTAACATCCAGTGTTAAAAGGTTCATTTGGTTTCGGATAAAGTCCAGTCTGTCAATTTGGTCTTCCCTCTCTTCCATTGAATAAACCCTATTATAGTATGAATAATAATTAATATTCAGATTATATTAAAAACCCAAAACAATTAAACAAAGGCATTTAATTATGTATCGAACCATCTGTTAGGATGATACAAGGGAAAAAAATCTCATATTTCAACATCAAAAAGAATTCAAATAATATTTTATTTATGTTTTATAGATGATTGAACACGAACTGCTTTCTCTGCTCATGTGACACCTGAATCCCACAAGGATTAACGAGGACTCTAAGTCCCCAAACACTTCATAGATGTGAACAAACCTCAATATTGACTTTAATAAACAGGGGCCAGCAAATGGCATCCTATAAGCCAAATCCAGCCAGCTGCTAGTTTTTGTTAAAAGTTTTCTTAGAATATAGCTGTGCTCATGCACGTACCTATTCTCTATGGCTGTTTTTGCTCTAAAACTGTAGGATTGAATAGCTGCAAGAGACAGTACAGCCCACAAAGCTTTCTACCTGGACTTCATAAAAAATTTGTCAACCAGTAGATGACATAAGGGGGAAAAATACCCTGAGATCCTTTTAAAATCATCTTTAAAGGAGTTCCCAAGACATTATGATTATACGAACCATCCTCAAATCACATCTTCTTTGTGCCATGTTTAGTTCAATGTCCTGTATTTTTAAAAATTAAGAAGGTCAATCCAGCAGACCAAATACTCACTTTGGCTACTGTAATAAACCAATTGAGCTGAAAGGGACATAAATGGCAACACAATCTCATTGTACAGAAATAACGCATAAAGGCTGAGGTCGGACTTGGGTTTTCACTGTTTTTGTTTTATAAGCAGGAAATTCTTGAATTTTGTAGGTAACACATTCTTGCAAAAGTATTGAAATTAGGCAATACTGACATATGAATGGAGTTTTGTTCCCAGCAATATCAAATACATTTAAAATTCCCAATTAAATGTCATCTTGGACTTAATCTTTAATGTTTTATCTTTCTTTTGATTGGCTTAAGTTCTGCTAAAAGGTTCAACTGAGGCATAACATCATTATGTTTGTCACATCTAATAACATCGTATCTTTCTTTAAAGTGTACCAAGGTTGTGAGAACTACCCTTTTCTTCCACAGTGTTGACCCTTTCATGTATTCATTTTCATCTTTATAAAGTAGTAAATGAATAAAATCGGGCAGTACAGTATGATATATAGGACAGTGCTTACCAAAATGACTTTCCAGCTGGCAGGTCAAATCACTCTGTTTATTTCCCAGCTAATAAAAAACCACAACTGGCATAAAATATTGATTTCAAGGTATCAATGTATGACTTTATAAAAGATGACTCATGGTTTGAATGTAAAAAAGAGGGTCACTTGTTTTGGATTTCTTCAAGAAATTCAGCTTGACGAAATGGTTCTGCCTCTGCTTTAAATATATTTTAAAGCCACCAAACATTTTAAAACCACAACTCATACACAATAATACCGAGATCCATGGACTGTAAATGACATATGCAAGGCTGTAGAATAAATATTTACAGTTTCTAATGTTCACTTAAAAACATGCAGGTGGGGACCACTACACACACACAAAGCTGATTTTAGAAGGAAAAGTATTTATAACAATTTAAAACCTTAGACTAAGAAATCCATATTAACACACACAAAATTATATTTTTATTTTGCAATAAAATGTATTCATACCTTTTCTCTGCTGCTGCCACGTTTATTGAATCCATTATGTTTTTCACAGTATCTAGTATCTGTTTAGCTCTGATAGTGTGCTGTTCAAACTTTGTTTTCACTGCTGACTGCGAGATACACTCCTGCGAGGGGCCCAAGCCATAACACATTACTGTAATTCCATCCCAACATTTTTAGGAATTTAAACACAAAAACTTGCTGTTTATAACTTTAACCAAAACAGAAATAAGAATAGAAAATAAATACATGATAAACACAACTTAAAATTACAAACGTTAAAAAAAATGACAAAGATTCAAAATAATAAGGGCTCTAAAACAGCAAGTCCAAATCTTTGTGTAATTTCACACAGTAATGTGCAATGGTTTTTTAATATTTTTTTAAAAACAAATAAATAAAATACTATTTTCAATGTTAAAAAAGATTTTCCTTTAGAATTAATAATTTCACTTGTATTGACTTTAATGTACTTCTAATCTATCTTGATTTTTCTCATACATACAACAGATAACCTAATAAAGTTGTTAACTGAGTTATGAATTAGAATTCTACCATATTAAAAAAAATTAGTTGAATATGATTCACATAGGTTATTAAAAAGGACTTTTATGGATTAAAACTTGAACAATTTGAAAACTCTTTAACAACAAACAACCTAAGTAATACTTTAAATTGTTTACAGAAAACTATCTACAGCTATTTCAAAGATAATTCTGTTACTGGCATTGGTCTATCATGTGTACATACAGGTCCCAATGATGCCCTATTTCATTTGTTTCACTTTCAAGATAACTGCAGCTCACAATCTGTTAATAGTTGTACAAAATAATTAGTTTCAGGACCAGTGTTTTTTTAAAATAGAAGAGAATATATCAGAGTGCATCACATATAGTGATAGATGTTTATTTTGTGAAACTTTGGTTTCAATTTCCATATATGTGCAAACTACATGTTATTTAAAATATTTATGGTGATTCATCATTAAATATTTGCAAAATTATCAAATTAAAATCAGCCTTTCAGGTTTACTTCATAGAAAGCGAAACTCTGTACTGACATAACATTTGGAAACAACTATAAATGTTTACAGAGGGGTACTATCAGGTCTTTGAACAATCAAGAAATGTTCACCTGGGTCACAACATCAATAACTGTAACAGATGTTTTGCAAGACGCCATGTTTATTTTCTATGATAAATTTTTTAAAATTTGGGATATACCCTAACTCCAATATTTCTTTGAATTCATCTTCTTGAGCCTCTTTTTATATATAAGTAGTACAAAGTTATAGTCATTACTTCCTAAAGTAATCACTATCCTTTGTTAAATAGCTTACAGATTTTAAAAGGTATTCACTTAGTACTCTAGTCCTATATTGTCTTGAAATCCATGTTACATATTCATTCAGTGTCCTATTTATAACCTTTGCTTAGCCTTCATGTCTCTAAAATCTCTAAAGTGATCATTTGTTCACTTCACTAAGATAGAAAAGGCTTTTAAAATCTTTTTGCCATTGTAGCTGCCCTCTTCAGCATTTTGTTTGAGATACAGAACACAAAGCAAATTCATTTCTTTAGCTATAGAGCACATGAGGGTAATTAATTTAGTTAACAGTTTATAAACTTAACTCAGAGACCATTACTTCCTTCCATTGTATAGACTTTTTGCTTGTGGTTAAGCTCATTTATACATCACTGTGGAAAGTTACATTAGTGGAAAGTTACAGCATTTCTGTTCTGTACACACCAAAGCAAAAACTAATACCTACACAATATTAAACACTGAACGTGTAAAGTGCATGTTTTTTAATACCCAAAACAAAACTTAAGTTTTACTTTAAATATCTGTATCTCATAAATTGCCAAATTAACCTCCACAAAAACTATAATAAATGCATAAAAATATTTTAAAGGAAAAAAAAGGTTAAAAGAAATTCTATGTTCCTCGATGAAGCAGATCTAGATATCAGCAACGAAGACCCCGAATTTGTAGATAACAGCACAGTATTAGAGCTAGACTAGACAGAAAAGATCTCCAGAAGTTATTAGGCAATATATTACTTCTTGATTCAAAAATATACAATGATGAATAAGTATAAAGAAGAAAACACACAATCTTCTTTTAATTAAAAAGTATCCCACACTGATGTTTCCACTGATAGAAAAATATCAAGAGTCAACCTGCAAAAGAAATACTCTGTTCTGAAATAAGTACAGAAATGCTAACTGAAAGTTTCTTTAATGAATTATTTCTGAACCCTCAATAGATTAATATGTTTATGAATCTCCATGGGGAATATATAAACTGTGCAGCAGTTCCCAGACTTATTTTATCAGGAACTCTAATTTTCCAAGGAGAAGTTTAACATCTAAAGAAGCCAGCTGTTAATTAATCACACATAGCTACACATATGTAAATATTAATATTTATGTGTAATTAAAACAAAACGAAGTAGTCAAGGCTCCTTGATAACTCAATAACATATAATACTATTCACCACTCTAAACTTATTATTTTGAAATATTTTAAAATGAGAAAGTACAAGAAAGAACACTAATATATAATATACTTTTCAAGTAAATATACCAAATGTTAACATTCAGCCTCATTTATTTACCTTTCCTTCTCTGATGCTTCATTCAGATAGGTATATCTATACATAAAGATATACATATATTTTTACATATATATGTATATACATTCCGGCTGAACAATTTGACAGTTCATTGCAGCTATCATAACCTTACTACTAAAATATTAACATGTGTCTCCTAAGAATAGGGATATTTGCCTATAGAACCATGAACCAATTATTGTATTGAGAACATTTATCACTGGGACAATACTATCAACCTAACACAGGGTTCACTTTCAAATTTTAGCTGTCCCAGGAATGTTCTTTTGTTATTTATTTATTTTTTTTAGCTGAGTCATCCTGCCACCTGTTGGCAGCTCAGCCGCAGCTCAGCTCGGGCTGGGCATCCTCAAGCCTCTGTTGCTCAGAGCTCAAACTCTTGAGCGAGCTCTTAACCAGCTGAGCCACTCGGCTGGCCCCCAACAAATTCACTGACATTTTACAGAAGAGTTATTTTATATCTCTTTTCCATCACATAACCAAAACTATTAAAACTAGTTAATGGCCAAATATTTGAGCAAAGAAATTTAGATTTCTAAATGGCCTTTAGAATATATACCTGTCCACATACAGGTTGAAAACAACAAGAAAACATATTAATGTTGATTTTCTTGATTGATTTTACTTGATTTAATTTCCAGGCTTTGTTTAACCTTGCACTCTATTATGTTCTTTATATTTAGTTCCTTTGAACCAAATGAATCTCAAACAAGTCCATGGCAAAGGTCAGACTGTTTGATAAAAATGAACTTGGTACAGTTCTCATTTTCACAAAATCATCTTATGAGACTACAAAAAAAGAGAATTCTAAAAATGAATAGAAAATGTGTATAAAGTTCATATTCTGTGATCACAATACAAAGAATCCAAGAAATAATGAAAAGTTGGATGAAAAGGATCAAAACACCTGAATTTGAACTACTGTGCTGAATAAGCAATATCAAAACTATAATTATAATAAAAATAAACAATGAAAACTAAGGTGGATACTGAAACCTATGGAATATGTCCAAAGTTACAAAGACAAATTCATAACCCTAAATTCTTCCTTAAAGAAAAGCAATTCCAATGAAAATACTTTGGACATCCAGACAAAACTTTTGGCCTATCTGATTATTTCTTTAGGTAAATTTAAATAATTTTTAGCCGACTCTCATCTTAGATCTGATAGTTTCAATTAAACAAAAGTTTCAAATCCTAAATCCTGACATTCTCTATGAGTTTATTTAAAAGCTCTTGCTCATAAACAGTGTTTTTTTGCATACATAATTTTTAGATTTCCAAAAGAACTTTTACAATAAAAAAAGCAACTGCAAATTTTCTCCTACAAACATTAAAAAGAATAGTTCCTAAGTCTGCCTGATTATTGCAATCACTTGGAAAGCTTTGAATATGTACAGATTCCTAGGTCCATCGTAGCCCAAATGCATCAGTCCCTGTGCCAGGCAGGAATCTACAGATGTCTATAGCACCTCACTTGTTTCTCAAAACCAGCCAGGTTCGGGAACCAGTGCTCCACAGGCACATCTTTTATTCTTTTCATTCCTACCTCTTCAAAGAGATATTCTGGGAAAGCAAAAGCTGCACCAGGAACCAATATGAAGAAGGGTATATAATAAAATAGTATATTATTTGGTAGGAGAAATCAATGACAAACAGGGAGAGGGGGAGGGGAGAGGAGAAGAGGAAAGAAGGAAAGGAAGGGAAAAAAGGTCAATAAATCAGGAAAGACAAAGGAAACAGAACAACAGATCCTCTCCCCAATATTTTCCCCATGGATGAAATAACTGGTAAGAGAGAGAGAAGAGAATTAAATCTCTTGTGAAAATAAACAGACAAAATGATCTTTAAGTAACTGGGACTTCATGTATCCTATAGCCTAGCTGGAGAGAACCTCTGCCTCTGAATAGAGAGATCTTACCAAAATAGCTGGTAGTGGGTTTTCTTTCTTAAACACTTTGTCTTCATCTACCTAATAATCTTTCTGCCTCTCACCATATTAAAGATAGGAGATAGAGAACAAATGTTTAATTTAAAAAATTCTGCGTAGTACATTCAACATTCTGCTTATAAGGAAGAATCATTACAGGTGATTACAGGTGGAAGTTTTTTCAGTTCTGCAATCTTTGTATTCACTTGTGGGTGAGAAGAGGAGTTGCAATCTAAGCTGAGCTAGATTAAATAGGGCCAAGAGTTTGGGTGTCTTTTAACATCTATGTCTTTTAATATCTGAAAAACTTTCCAGTCAAGTGCAGGATGAGTTTTAATGTCTTTGAATAAAACATGTACATCAAAACACAAGTATCCTCCCTCCCCAATGCTTCACACACATTAGTTATTCGTGTGCCTCAGTAATTCCTACCAGATTCCTAAAGTACAGGACCTCTTTCTTAGTTATTTTTATATTCATTCATGTGTTCAGGACTTTTGGCATAAAATGTGGAGAATAACAGGTGACAACAGTTTAGAAATGTAATAAACTTTTGTCAAATGACATTAACTATGTTCTATTTCTCTCTATAAATACTATGGTACAAAAGAAAAAAGATAATCTTCATTTTGCTCTATTCCAACCCAAAAGCCATTACATTTGTTTAATCTTGCCCCAAATTACATATAGAGAACTCCCCTCAATGCAAAACACAAGCAATATTAGGAGGTAGTTTCTCATTTAAATACAAATACATAAGGAAAACAATTAAGAAATTAAAATCTTTAATTCTCAATTCTTACGGATCATCCATTTTGCAGGGACTTCCTTTCTTCAAACTTTCCTTGCTTCACTTGCTGTGTCAGTAACTACACTAAATAACAGTAAAGTTATTGACAAAGATAAATAGTGAAAATAGAACATTATGAACACTCTCCAACCAATACTAGGGTTTTACATTAGCCAATACATTCACAAAATCCCTACCTCAAAGATTTGTTCAAAATTCTGAAACTCCTGTAATCTTGCCTGAAATCCTTCCGCAAGTGCCCCACCTGTAATAGTTAGGTGAAGATTTAAAAACCTAGCATAATATATAGCAAGGCAGGATTTCTAGCATGCCATTTTTATCACCTACACTTGTATTTCAAAAGGACATCTATGATAAATACCTACCACCTTCTGGCATCCCCTGTGCTTTGTGCATTCTAGCATTAAGAACTTCCTTTGCAGAAATAAAGAAAATACGATTCCGTGCTTCTAAAGGACCCACAACTTTGAGCTCCTCCACCAAGAAATGTAGGCATCTTTCCATGTGCTGTCTGCGTACCTAGAGAAAAATAGGGTATTAAAAGAATTTTGATGGTTAAATAGACAGCTATAGGTCTATACTAAACTCCATTTATAGTGATATAACAATAGCTCCATATACTTAACAAATCCTAATTATAACTCTAATAAAGTTTGATACTTGCTGACAGAAAAATCTGTCTCAACTTAAAGTAGTGATTCGCCTTTGAACATTTAATTTAAAATTCTGATGGACCATCAAATACTACACAGCCACTATAAAACATTGTAGACAAATGTTAGGACTTAATGATATGAGAAGAGGTTGCTAATTCTGTATTAAGGATGTACATGATTATACAACAACAAAGAAATGAAGTGTGTGTGTATATATGTATTTATGTAAGTTAACAGATGGAATGCAGGCAACCCCCACAAAAATGGGTGACAATTTTATTTCTTCCTGATGCTTTTCTTATTTTCCAAATTTTCTACAATGAAACTATTCTTATTTTGAAATTGGGACATAAATAGTATATTTCTCTTCTTAAAACATTGATATTAAAGTTGGGGAGAATGCATTAGCCAGGGATTAGAGTTGCAATGTTAGGTTTAAGATTAGCATTTGGGTATTAAAATTAGGATTGAAATTAGTTAGGGTTTAGTACTCGCCTTTAGCATTAGGGCTATGATAAGAAATCTCTATGTTAACACTTAATAAAATTAAGCTAAATAAGAATGGGGAAGAACCATTTGTGGATGATATTTCCTAGTTCTCTGATGACTAAATGAGGCCCCAATTTGAAAGGGTGTGATTATAAAACAAGAGTTAATAATAGCAAGATATAAAGTTTCATAGTAAGCAAAATTCTAATTTTAAGTGTGGAGAGAACAATGAAAGTAAATAATCCAACATGTGAACAGTGATGGGATAGTATGAATTTTAATTTTTTTATGCATTTTCTAAATCTTTTTTACAATAAACAGAAACTATTAAAATCATAAAAAGTAATACCAAGCAAATATTATTTATAGACCAAATGCCAGATGCTCTATTCTTTTTAAAAAGAAGTTTCTAAAATCACCAGTATGACTAATATAAAAAACAATAACACCAAATGTTGGCGAGGATATAAATCACCTGAAACTTTCAATCAGCTGGGGGAGTATAAACTGGTACAAGCACGTCAGAAAATTCTTGGGCTGTGTTTACTAAAACAGCATATTCTTACCCTGCAATCCAGCAATTCTACTCCTAGATATACACCTATGGAGTACTGATCTCTGCATTATTGATACCGAGTCAGATAAATCTTTGGGGAGGGGCTGCTCTGTGATAGAGGATGTTTACCATTACCTCTGGCTCTACCCACTAGATGCCAGGCGCAGATTCCCCCAGTAGTGACAACAAAAATGTCTTCAGACATGACCAAGTATTCCCTGGGGTTAAAATTGTCCAACCCCTTGTATTGAGAACACTGGTATATACCTGACAGAAATACATAACTATGATCACCAGAAGACATATGTAAGAATATTGACAGCTCCATTATTCATAATAGCTAAATACAGGAAAATCACCCATATGCATACTACTAACAGTACCAATAAATCAACTGCAATTAATCAAAAGATGTAATATTACATAGTAGTGAGAATGCACTTCAACTATGCACAACAGTTTGTTTGCCTATCGCAAACATAATGGTGAGCAAGAGAAACTGAACTCAAAAAAGTAGATGCAGAACGATTCCATTACATAAAGGTGAAAAACTTGAAAAATGAACCTAGGGTGTTAGAAGTCACAATAAGTGGTTATCCTTGAGAGGAAGAACAGAGGATGGAACAGGGGGATCCTGGGCTGCTGGGAATGTTCTGCTTCTTGATCTGGAATCTGACAAAATGTGTTAAATTTATAAACTGCACTGAGCTGGACACTTACGATTTGTACACTTTTCTGTTATACTTCAATAAAAAATTAAAACAAAACAAACAAAAATGAAGTGTCGAGATCTAAAATGAATAATGCTTTTATAACACAATTTTCCTTCAAAGTAGCTCAATACTTGTCTATCACATAGTGACTTCAGGTTTTCTATAATTATACTCTTTTCTCAAGAGAATAGCTGCTTATGATGTTCTATTCTATAGGCAGTTTTCTCAGATAACCATGCACCTGAGTATATTTCAAAACTTAAGGGAAAAAAATAACTTACATCTTCCATGTATTCTGGCTCTGATGCAGAGGCATCCCAACGATTATTCAGAATGAAAATATTAGGCTTAGAGAGTCGCTCATTTACCTTGTGAAAAAACTGCTTTTCCTGAAAATCATCAAATGCCAAACAATATGTTCATTTTTAAAACATATTTTTACATTTTTATATATAATTAAAGTTTTATTTTAATATAAAAATTTGAACCATTTAGACAACAGTGATTAACACCCATTGATAAAGGATCCCAAAGCACTATGAGCATTAAACTTTTCAAATATGAGAAAATAAAAGAAAGGGAAAAATGAAGATATTCCTGCTCCTGCCATGAGTCTTTTTTGAAACAAAATTTAAAAAATATTTTATTTGTCTCTGCTATATGCAGAATATAAAAGCAACTGCTGGATATAACAATCCATGATTTCAAAAAGCTACCTCAAATTGTTTTTAAGATTTAGACTAAGGAAATCAGTAACAATGTAAGACATGTGTACAACACATCATAATAAACAGAGAAAGGTATGTACCATAAATACTATAAATAAATGCTGAAACTATTCAAAGGAAGGAGACACCACACCTCTCTGAAATTATGAAAAGCTCCATAAAGAAGGAAGTAGTGATAGAGATGGGCTTGAAAGTACTGATAACAGGGGCTTTTTGGAAAGATGAAAAGTTGGGAGGAGGAAAGAACTGTGGGCAATGAACAGCATAAACAAAGGCATCAAAATCAGAATGTGTATTAAAATTTGTTTATCCAACATCCAAATAATGGAGTTATTCTAACAGATTTTAAACACCTGTCTATCTGTTATATCAGGTTATAAACAACTGTCAGTGTTGTCAAAGAGGCCTGGTCTACGTGATCTAGATGGGGCCACTGGGCCATACAACACTAATAACACGGTGACAAAACACAGGTGTTGCTGGTAACACCAAGGTTGCAAAGCTGTTTGGACATTTATATGCTTTTGATAAATAACAATTTTTAAAAATCATAGTATAGTTTGCGATATGAGATTATCTAAAATCTGAAAAGTTTGAGATGAGTCTGTTTCTAGACATTCTGGATAAATGAACTTGTAAGCTTGACAGTAGCTTAGAGTGCACACAGGATAGCTTGGAAAAGGTTGACAAAACTCAAAATAGAAAAGTCTTTCCTGTCATACAGGGATGTGAGGTGGTGGTGTTATATTTTATTCAAGAGACTTAAGTCAGCATCCTAACAATTCTGGTGCCCATTTTTTCCGAAACTGGTAAATAACCACAGTAAATGTTAACAACACACATGTATCACACCTTGAACTCCAAGATTCACTAGAAGCTAGTGCCATCAAACCCTAAATTGCTATTCAAACCCTGGGAACACGCAAGACCAGAATCAGCCCTTCAGGTCCTATGGAAACACAAACCCCTTCATTCACCCTTAACATTAGAAGTTCTTTCTAATCCAAGATTTGGATTTCTCTCACTTTTTGGAATTAAAACACATAACATTTCATTTCCTACCACTCAAACATAATAATATGATTAAGTCCTACCGTGTTCATTAGTGTTGACTCAGAGTTTGCAACCAAAACAAAGACATCAGCATCTAAGCAAAACTTATCAATCCAGCTATCCAGCTCTGTAGTGACATCTGTACCTGGACTAATGGAAATAAAATAAAAATTATTTAATATTTTTGAAAAGAAAATTTGGATTACAGAAAGACAATTTTTTAAACTTTTATACATTGTTTAAAGTTTAAGGACAGATTTCTACCATTCAGCAATATGAAGCCTAGGAAATTTAAATTATTTTCTCACCTATAAGACAGTGATTGTGGCAAGTTGAGAGTGTGTGCTTCATATAATTCTATATATTTATTCTGCTGACAAGGAACTCCCAGAGCCTACCCAGTTGACAATAAATGCTAAAAAAAGGTTTATTTACTAAAGACAAATAACCTCATGGTTTTTAACAAAGTAACATGGTGAATATTTTAATATTTTAAATCTTAATGCTTTGGAAGGCTAAAAAATAAGTACAAAAACCCTAAACTAGGCTAATACATAATCAAAAATGAAGGTACAAGCAGCTATGTCCAGTACAGTTCAGAGACGACTGCTTATAAGTAATGAAAAATAAAAGACTATCTGCTAGACATAAATTTAATATACAATCTATGTTATAGAAATTACAGTGCAATTATTTATAGGTTGGCTTGATGTATTCTGTGACAAATTGGCAAGTTGAAAGGCTGGTGTCATGGATACAGTCTGGCCATGAAACAAAGCAAAATTAATTAGCTTATATTTAAACCAAATATTTTTATTTCACAAACAACTTCTCTCTCATCTGAGCTATTTCTGTTGATTATTTGAAACTCTTCCAATTAAATGAGAGCCCATCATCAAAAACAAAATGGTTTCCAAAGAACACTGAAATTTTAACTAAAGAAAATGAACACACCAAAATAAAAAATAAAAAGTCATTTAACTACCTTTTTTAGTTAATGACATTGCTTAATAGGTATGCATTACCATTTTTTAAGCACCAGTGTGGTAGGATGATTTTAAAGATACATAATAAATGCAGATTAATCAGAAGAGTTGGAAAAAAATTCCAAGAGTACTGGATTAATTCTTGAACAATGAAAAGCTATATGAACTGTCCACAAAATTATTTTGGGAAACTTGCTCTCAAGAATGAATTCATTATTAGTTTAAAAAATTACCCATTTAGAATTATCTATCTAGGTATCTAGAATTAGACAATCTCTAAGGCCCAGCCACTCATACAAACTACAAAGTCAGATAAACAAAGAAACAAAAGTGACCATCCTTGAAATCTCTTGTAAAAGAATTAAACTGATAAATTAGCACTTTTATATCATTAAAATACAAAAACCAACACCTTATCTGTTCCTTAACAATATAACAAATGAAAGCAAAACAGCAATTGAACATTTAAAATTTTTATGTGCTACATACAAATCTAACCCAAGCATTATTCTATTAAATACACCTTTACAAGGACAAAACACAATTAATACGTAATTTTACCTGTCCACTAAAACCAGGTCATCCCTCAAGAGGGCACATTTTGCCTTTGGCCAAAAAACATGCACAAGAGAGCCAGCTTTCAAGTCTTTGTCCATATGAAGGGCGTGGGCCAGCTGATTAACTGTCTAAAGCATGAGGAAAAGAAAAAACAGAACTCTACTTGTAATAAAATTTAACAAAAATTTAAAATACTATGATTTGGTGCAACATTTATTTTGGTAAAACACGTCCAAAAAGCAGAACTTTAAATAATTTAAAATAAAACCATCTAAGAAATCTTGAAAAACCTGAGTTTTAAAATTACCAAGTAGGAAAAATAACTGGTACCCTTAAAACAGTTTACCCATATCATTCTGCAAAAATAATCAAGGCTACAAACATTCTAAATGCCCCCCAAAATTGAACTGTGGCAATGGAGTCCTAAGCAACCCCTAAAATTGGTATTGTATGTAGGAAAAGCAATTTGTAATAGATCAAGAAAAAAAAAAAAGCAGATCAGAATATAGCACATGATATAAAACCATTTTGTTTAAAATATACAGAGAAACACAAATTTAACTCTATACCAAAGGGTTTCCATTGGTTTGGGGAAATAACATGAGTTTTGGAGTTTTTATCTATTTGCACTTTCTGTCTCCTCTAAAATGAATGTGTATTGCTTAGTAATATAAGGGAATAGAAGAAACATCACTAATCAAATAAAGGGCATCAGCATGCACACCTCTACAGTTCATTTGTGATTTGTATCAGATTGTAAAGGGAACTACAGTAAAAACTTGAATTGCGAGTAACGTGGTTTGCGAGTGTTCAGCCAAGACAAGCAAACATTTCTAATATATTTTAACATGGTAAACAAGCAATGTCTTGCAATACGAGTAGTTTGATTCCAGAACGAATTATGCTCGCAAACCAAGGTACTACTGTATCTCTTTTAAAATGAGCACAATAGTCCTGATCAGAGTTGAAGTGAATCTCCACAGTGACAATATTAAGGGTGTTTTTTGGCTTGCTTTCATAAAGTTTTCGATGGAATTATAAACTCGTACTAAAATCTTGATGACTCACCTATAAATTTAAGATAATAAAAGCACCTATCAGACAGAAATGTGGTGAGGTTTGAGTTATTACAAGTATTTAGAACAGTGCCTGGTACATAGCAAGTATGCAATGAAGTATTAGCTATTACTATTGCATTTCTTTTACTAAGTAAACTATTAGAGCACAAGACTCAAAGTCTGTTTACACCTTAAAGCAAGCCACTGCTTGAGGTAAACAAATTTAAATTCCGGAGTAGGGGAGAGGAGTAAAAAAGCAAGAAGGAAGAGGTCTGGAAGTAGAGCACAGATCAGAAAAAATGAATGATTTCCTTAAAATACCACAGCACACTAGATTTTGAGGCTCTAATACCATAGGCTGAATTGTGATTTGCTAAAAATTTTGATCACAAAATAAGTGATGCCTTCGTTTGTATGGGTTAAAAGTTTGAAAAATATTTTCATATACATCATTTCATTTATTCCTCGTAACTAAATCAAAGGGTATTACACAGATTGTTACCTGATCTAGATCAAACAGCAAACTCACAACACAAGAACCAGACCCATGAATTCACCTAGTTTACCAAAAACTAAAATGGCATGGAACTTCAAACATTGATCTTCCGTATTTGTGGGAGAGAAGTTAAGACTTAAGAGAAAGTGCCCATAGTGAGAAACAGTGCCTTTACCAATTGTTTTATTCCACTCAACATCTTACATCTAGTTTTTTTGGGGTTTTTTTTTTTTTTGGCTGAAGGAATTTAGTGTCACTAAATACCTTAAGACATTTATGAAAAATAGAGAACTGCCATTGACTCTTATCTGGTAAAGCTACAACATAACATTTATTCATAAATATACTTACTGAATACTCCAAAGGTAAAACAGTTTCTAAAGGTACAGACGTGTCAAAAACAGATTCCAAAGGCCCAATTTTTTACACAAAGTTTTCTTTAGAAAGACAACATTTGAGATTGAATAGAAATAACACGCTTCAATGTTTTCATTGGGAAAAATTTTTTTTAAACTTAATAAGCATTTAACTCTAATTTACTTTTAAGGACAGGATTTCTTCGTCTAGTAATTTAGCTCTGCAGCAAAGGAATTTGAGAATTAAAAATATTAGCGATGGCTTAAAAAACGACTAGATATATTAATGGGTCTTCCATCTCCGGGATTGCAAATATCTTATAAAATATTTTTTTTAAAGGACAAAAACATTGTTTCAGATACATTACATTGCTAAGGTCAAATATAATACCTTCACACTCTTTTTTTCATCTGATCCTTCTGTCATAAGGTAAGCTTTATCTCCATCAGTTCCTTCAACGCTCAGTAAGCAATTGGTTGTATGGCCAATCCCACTAGGGAGAACTTTATCCCATAACATTGCATTGATAACAGAGCTCTTCCCACTGCTTGTCCTGAAGAATGAACACACAAAATTATGAAACATACAAAATCATGAAAAACAAAACGTAACAGTAAAAAACTTTGTTTTTTCACTGGGTCTAAGGCTGACTTTTCTAGAATTTAAATTTTGTTAAAATTTCATCAGACTGTATTTTTCATGAGTTGACAACTTGATTTACATAAGTATTAGCAAAGTACATTTCAGAAAACATAGCAGAAAGCAAACCCTATCTTTCCCATAAAGTTATCTTTGCCTTTTGTAACTTTCTTCTTGTGGCAATTTGAAATCACAGCCCCAAATTCTGTGATACCTGACTGACCACAAGATGTGGTCAAATGTCCCATCTCCTTAAATCTGGGCTGGATCTTTTTCACATCCACAGCTAAATACCTACCGTATTTCCCCATGTATAAGACGCTCCCATGCATAAGACACACCTTAATTTTGGGGCCCGAAATTTGAAAAAAAATATATTACATAAAGTCATTGAACTCAAGTTTTATTCATCATAAAATTCATACAACTCATCACTGTCAAAACTCCCAACCATTAGCTTGTCCTCATCTGTGTCTGATGACGAATCACTGTCTTCATATATTGCCCCGTCCTCAGTTCCATGTATGGCATTTGAAATGCCACATTTCTTAAATGACTTGACAACCATCTACAACCACTGTATAAGGCACACCCAGTTTTTAGAACCCAAATTTTTCGAAAAAGGGTACGTCTTATACATGGGGAAATACGGTATTTCTCCTTCTCAAGTAGGACAAGCATGTCATCACCTCTCCAGGAGGCATCTTCCCTCCCACCCCTACTCCACCCTGTCTGAGGCAAGGCCTCTTTAATAGACCTACCTCATTCTAAGGCCCTGAGTATATGGTCAAGTGGGAGAAACAGACAATAAAAACATAAACAAAACAACAGAGCTCTGTGAAAATGTTTTAAAACCATCAACAGGTGCTTTAATAGAGAATAACTGAGAAGGAATACTTAAATAGTGTGATAAGGGAAGGTTTCTGAGGTAGTAACATTTAGGATGAGATCTGAGGGACTGAAAAGGAGCCAGCAAGACAGAACAAGGCCAAGAGAATTCTAGGCGTAGGAAATTGCAAATGCTAAAGCCTAAGATAGGACATAGCTTAGAAGGCCTATGAGATTCGTTTAGTAAGTAAATAAATGCCTGTATTGGTACATAGCACATGATGCTTGAGAAACCAAGTATGGGCCTAGTATTCTGTCTTTGTATCCCTGGTGCCTGAAAGTGCATGGTACACAGGTAGTTAACAAATGATCCTTAAATGTATATAGAAGCTATGGCAGAGATCACGCTATCACTCCAAACATTATTGTTAACAAATGGCACTTCCTACTGTCCCTCTGGAAATCATGAGGCTGAGAATCCTTCTGTAAGACACACCTGATAATCAACAGAATCTTAAAAGAGTAACAAATTATGCATATCATTATCTGTATTTATTCTCTTATAACTGGCTAATAAGCCAATTCTTAGAGATGAGCATCCTTAAAAAATAAAAATATGATTGACCTTCATAAAGCTTCATTTTATACCAGGAGCTAAAATGAACAAATTCTCTTACATGCTATTAAAGCAGGCAGAAATTGTTGAAAAGAGAAGGGGAAGGAGTTGCACTTGTTGAAACATCCGAAACAAAGATGGAAAAATGACCAAAAAAGCTGATTTCTGGAAACTACTCTCGAGGAGAAATAATAAAGGATTACCTGCCAAAAAAGGCCACTTTCATGTGTCTCCGAGACAGCACCTCACCAATGACGGAAAGCTTGTTTTTATACCCATGTATTTCTACCAGATCATCCTCAGTAGCTATTTGATTAAGCTCTGGATTCCTGTATGTTGCTACAAAATTGAAACAGTATTAGAAAAGTGATATAAATGAATATTAAGTTAATTATACAATGGGATACCTAGACATGCATATATAATACTTTGGCTTTGTTCTATATTAACACGCCATTTGAAAAATAAAAATGCCCATCTGAATATTTGGTAAAAGGTGAGTGCCTCCTTCCAATGGGTAATAAGAATCCTGCCCAAAAGAATTTCAAAATTATTAAGAATTTCAGGAGCCCAGTCAAAAAGGTATTTATTATTTATTTGGTCTCAAAAATAAAAAATATTCAACTGAGGCAAAAATGTTTCTGAACAGAGAAACTAGAGCCTAATATTCACCTATTATTGTCCCCCTCCTGATTAGATCTTCAAATCTTGAGCTGAGTAAGAAGAGCAATCCACATGGTAAGAAAGAGTCAAGTTTGAATGTCCCCTCTCCCCACCCCCAAAAAATAAAGATATGGTTCATGGAGGTCTGCAAGCTAGGTAAGACTTTGCTACCTTAATCACTTGTTGTCTACTTTCCCCAGGATGGAGCAAAAAAGCTCATTTCACATAAAAAGAGAACATGCAGCTTGAATCCCACCCCAGCTCCAAACTCCCCTCCTCCAAGGATAGGGGTAACTGAGAAGGCCTGGGTTTGAAAAGTAGAAAAGCCTTTCAGCTTTGTTTCTATTTCAGGAATACACATGCTCACCGTTATATTTTTATCATTTCATTCTGCAGATAAAAATACAGTGATTCATTTGGTTATCTGAGTGGTGCTAATTAAGACATAAACACTGATACAGCTTACCCAGTGGGCATCTAATTCAATCAAGCTTTACATATCTCATCATACTTTTCAAGTACATTAATAAAATATATGTAATTTGGTAAAAAAAGTTAAGACTGGCTTAAGTATCATGACATTCGGCCTTGTTTTTCATGTTCTATGTTATTCCTGTATTGCTTTGTCTCTTTTGCAACATTTTTTTCAGAGATTCTAGAACCAGTAAAATCAAATAGATTCTAAAGCATAATGCTCAATCTATAACTGGCTCAATACACAAAAGATATGTTACATTTAACTTCATTTTCATTTCCTAACAACTCTTTTAGAATAAAAATATTATTCGCAGTCACTGTGCCAGTTCAAATTCTTTTCAAACTGGAAACAAAAAGATTCTCTACCAGTACTTTTTTTTTCTCATTCCAACAAAATTTGAATTGTGTCAGGTTTGGTGATAGAGACACAATAATAAGGCACGATCCCTACCCCTAAGTGGGGAGTGTAAGAAGGGACAAGGAAAAGTTTGGTTCTACCAACCTACAAAATGTTTCCCCATTGCCACTGGAGAAGTTTACAGAATCCCTCCCTTTTCATTATACCCTTGAAGGTCACATAATCTTAAGAACCAGAAAAGTTTTCAACCGTTATCTTAAAGCAGTATTCCCTAGTAAGACATTCCTCACCACCTCTGTTTAAACAGTTACACTCATTTTGGGAAAACTTTTCTTGCCCTTTCCCACAGTACCCCAGCCTTATTGGAAAGGATAAGGCAGATTGGAGATCTTAGCATAACTACTGAGTTGGGGAGGAGATAAGTATAATGGCTAAATGTGGGCTGCATCATTTTTAGTCTTGGGCATTCACTAGCTGTGTGGTCTTGGGCAACCTGCTTGATTTTTCTGTACCTTGGTTTTTTTATCTTTTAAAATGAGTGATTAAAATTGTGCCTCAATGTTGATATGAGGATTAAATGAGCTATTACTATTACTGAAATGAATTAATAATTATATAATTCAAATTAAATTTATTCAACTTAATTATAATTAAATTAATGCTTTAATTTATGTTATATATAATAAATGAGCTATTAATGGTCTTTAAATGAGTTATTACTATAACAACATACTTAGAAAAATACCCCATATACAAGCACTTATTTTTAGTTGTTAGTAATACTATTTAATCTTCCTTTGGAGGGCACAAATGGGTTTTATTTGTTATATCATCACTCATACATATAGCACCATGTGTGTTCAGTAACTAAGGTTGAAAGAATAATGCACCTTTGTATATTTTCAACAGTATTTTAAAAACTTTAGAGAAACTAACCTTCAACAAAATGTGATCCTTCAGTAACAAACTCCAGTAACTTGTCAAAGATTTCAGAAATTGCCTTCTTCGCCAGCACAAAGTGCTTCAGTGGAGAAGCAGTTTCTGCCATTATGCCACTGGGGGGAGAAAACAAAAAGTGAGAAATGCAGATTAAACTGGATCATAATCACTTGCAAATTAATGACACTTTCCAGCGACAACTAACTCCCCAATGAAATAAATTAAACTGTCAAAATGCTTTTAATTATTTTGGGGGAGAAGTGTTTTAGTCAAAGACTTCTTTTGAGTGATATTCCGTTAAAATAAATAAACTCCACTGGCCAAAATCTTAGTTGCAATTTCTACTTTATTTCCCTTTGGTGAAGATGAAACTAACTGTGGCTAAGTTGTGACTACATGTGACGCTTAGGTATACACATGACGGAACAGAATTAGTGAAAAGCCAAGTTCACAAACAGTAAGTGATTAAGTTTCTCAACCTGGAGCTCTAGGTGGATGGCGGTGGATATATGCAAAGTGAGGAAATACAATTCCAAGATCACAATTCAATATTGACGTTTAGAAAGAAGTAATTCTCATCACACCTAATAAGGAGGCAAGGCTTAAAGCGGGCATTGACTTTTCCAGCCAAAGTACCAAGACCTTCAAGGGATCGAAGTTAAAAAAAAAAAATTAGGGGGCAGCTTCTCATGAAAAAGACACAAAACAAAAACGACTGAACACCAATCTAATCCTGGTGTGTACGCGTGGAATGCAGCAGAGTGGCCGTCAGGAAGGCTGAACACTCCAGAGGCTCGGGAATCGCCCGGGCGAAGGAGCTCCGTGGGAAGCGCAGGGTGACGGCACCGACCCGGCTCAGCCGGGGAGAATCACCTACCTTGGGGAATCCAGGCCTTTCACACCGGGCACGGGAGCCCCGCCCGCAGGCAGGGGCCAGACCCCACCACCGCCCCGCGGGCGCCGGCCCGGCCCGGGTTCTCCTCTCCCGGTTCCGGCCTCGTGGGCTCCGCGGGCCGGACCCGCCCGCCGGCCCGGCTCGGTCGCCCCTTTCTCGCAGGGCTGCGGCGGCGCCTCGTCACAGGGCACCCGGCGCACGACTCTCCAACTTCGTCCCTGGCCGCACGAAGGTCACCCCTAGAGAAGTGAAACGGCCAGCGGCCAAGACAGAGGGCACTCACACTGTCCTGGTTCCGACTTGTCACTTGGCAATCGCAGTTCAGCCGCAGCCCTCAGGCCGCTTCATTCTCTTAGGCTGGGAGGCTGGGAAGAGGCGGGAGGCGTGCCAAAAGGGCGGTCACTTCCGGTCTCTCGCCGTGCCCGGTTTTGTTTGGCTCCGTGGCCGGAAGTGCACCTATGTCGAGCGCCATTTTTGTTAAGGGCCGAGGGCAAGGTTTGTGAGGGCCGGGAATGCAGCGAAGGAATGTTTTGCTGTTCACCCCCCACCTTCTGCTTCCCCTCCCTTCTTCTTTCAATGTTTCCAAAGCTCTGACCAGCCTAGTGATAGGTAGGTGCCAATGGCTAGTTTACTCAGGGAGAGCTAAAAGGAGGTGGGGGTTGGAACTACCAGACGAGGGGTGTGGGCTTGCTGGGCCAGTTGCAATAATGGAAAACCCATTTGACCTCTCCACTACTCGCTGTTCTGTGCGATTGGCTTTTTGGGCTTGGAGCTGTGGGTGCATGTGTGTGTGTTGAATTACTTTAGAGGTGAGAAGAAATTAGGGAATTGATGTATCATTTTGACTCTCAAGCTTTGTACTTTGGAATCACCTGGGGATCTTGTAAATTGCCGATTCTGATTCATTGGGTTAGAGGTGAGGCCTGAGAGTGTGAATTGCTAACATCCTTGGGAAGCTGCTGCTGCTGGTCTGTACATGGCTCAACAAAACGACCTGGGGATTTCTTCCCAGAGCTGGCAAGAGATGTGCAATTTTGCAAGTGAAGCCACTTGATCTTCCTGAGCCTCATGTACTTCATCTATAAAATTGGAGTACTAATAATACCCACCTTATGAGTTCTGAAAATTAAATGGGTTAATAGCATGTAAAGTGCTTAGAACCCTGCTGCACATATAGTAAGTACTGGATAAATATTGTTCTGTTGCAACAGGTGAATATCAATAAGCAAATGCAATAAATTAGATATTCTGAAGAAGAAAAATGGCAATGGGATAGACTATCTGAAGGAAAATAAGAAAGAGTGAGCCTCACAGGGTTGTCCTTCCTGAGCAGGTAATATTAACTTCCTTTCCCCAGGAAGCCAATCCTTGGAATAACTGGAGGAAGAATGCCCAAAATGGGGACCAGGGAAGTCCAAAGGTCCATAGGAAAGAGTGGTATGGTGGATGAAAAGAAAGACGGCCAATATGTCCGGGGTGAAGGGAAGGAAACAGATTGGTGGAAATAAGTTTAGAGAGGTAGGCAGGTATAAAATCATATAGGCCAAGATCAGAAATTTACATTTTATTCTAAGTGCAATGGCTTGCTGTTTTAAGCTTGGGGAGTAATATGATCTGATTTATATTTTAAAAGGTCACTTTGGTTGCTTTGTGGGTATTGGACTCTACAGAGATTTCTCACAATGTTTATTAAAGGACCCAATCCACTGGCTGGAATTGCAGGCATTCCATGAAAAGAAAATAGCTTTTAATATTAGCAATATACTAAAGTCCCTAGACATAATTGCGAAATAAACTGGAATCATTTGACTTCACAGTATTTTATGTTTTTTAATCTCTTATCTACTCTCCTTACCCACTCCATAAAAACACACATAAACACAGTATGCTAATTATTTCTGTTAGGAATTCTTGGAATTATAATCTAACAAAATTTGTGTATTTATCTAAAAACATTGTGATGCAAATGACCAAGGGCATCCTCATACTTTACTGGCAGGCGGGTTACTGTGTGTATCAGTCAGGTTTTATAGGGTAAGAAATTTATTGGAAGAAATTGGCTTATGTGATTGTAAGGGTTGACTAGGCAAAATATGTATGTAGGGCTTGCAGTCAGTAAGGGCAGAATGGAAATTCTTGGGTAAGAGCTCACACTGCAGTCTAAAGGCAGCATTCCTTTTTAGGAGCACCTCAGCTCTGCTCTTAAAGCCTTTTAACTGACTGGATCATCCCACCCAGCTTACTCAAAATAATATCCTTTACATGAAGTCACCTGATTGTAGATGTTAATCACAAATACTTTCCCAGCAACACCTAGAGTAGCGTTTGGTTGAATAACTAGGTACTATAGACTCTCCAAGTTGACACATAAAACTGTCACATTGTTGTGAGCTATTTGGCAAAATGATTCAAAATTTATGTGTAGGCCTTTTGACTCAGCAACCCTAGGAAAAGGATCAAACGTGGACAGACACTTAGCTGTAAATACATAATCAAATATTATAAATATATTCAAAAATACAAATAAATATATAATAATCAAAATGTTATTTAAAATCATGAAAAACGAAATAATCCAAGTATTCCCCTATAGGAAATGGGTTAAATAAATTATGGTACATGCACAGGATGGAATATGATGTAGTCATTAAAGTTTGTTTTTAAAAAGTGCTTGACATAGAGTAATGTTCACCATATTGCCACAGTATATAAAAATGATACTTTGTAAATCATATGTAATACATATTTTATTTCTGATTGGTGATATTACTTCTTTTCTTTGTACTTGTTTGTTTTCACATTTTCTGCATTGGGCATGTATTCCTATAATAAGAAAAATGTAATAGTTTATATTTTTAATTCTTAATAAAACATATATAACTAATACTAATATATTTAATAAGCACTATAATTTACAATGGTGTTAAGGCATTTAGCAAAAAATAAATGAAATTTTAAGGATGAATTTTAAGCATCAACCAGCATGTGGAAGATGAAAGCATTCATCGCCCTTGAGATCATTCATACATCTGTTCAACAAACATAAATTGAAGAAGAAACATTTTAGTGGAAAACTACGGAACTTGAAATCTGAAGACCTAAGTTCAAGTCTATGCTATGCCACTTAAGAACTATGGGAAACCCCTAACCACTCATATCTGTTTTGAGCATAAGGGATCTCAAAGGGATCTTTTGTTTTATTTATAGTTTGAATTTTGAAAATCATAATGGTATCCCTTTATTAGTTCTGTAAATAATAATTCCATGTTTAATATAATTATTGTATTTTAAAGTAAAGGTGACATTGCATGTTATGAATTATATTATAAAAATAAGTTTTGATATAATAAGTAATCTAATTCACTGCTTTTCTGTTTATGGAACAGACGCAGAGGCAAAAACTAGCAAAGTAAACAGAAAGAAGAAAAAAATTAAAATATAAAAGCTGAAACAGAAATGAACAAAAACTAAAATTTATTTTAAAAACTTATATATTTGACATATTACTGCCAAATCTGTTCTTGAATGTCAAAAATGAGGGGAACACAAATCAGAGGGAAAATAACTAGATATATAATATAAATGCCAATACATATGAAAACTTTTATGAAGTATAAAATTTCTGGGAAACCATCAAATACCAAAATTAGCCCAAGAAAAACAGCAAATTTGAATCAGCTAATAAGTATTTAAGAAATTGAAATGGCAATTTCCTACATTAAAAAAAAAAAAGCCAAGCCTAGATGATTTTAAAGGTAACTTTTTACCAAATTTTTAAGGAAAAGATTAATCTTATCTCACAAAGGTTTTTGCTGAGTATAGAACAAGAGAAGAAATAGCCCAATTCACTTATAAGACTAGAATAACCTTGATACCACATTGGATAGGAGCTGTAAATAAAGAAAATCACACTTATGAATATAGAGGCAAACATCCTCTATGAAGTATTGGCTAACTGAAGCCAACGTTGTATTAAAAAACTTTTTTTTTCCAAATAGGGTTTTACTAGGGATACAAAAATAACATGAAAATCATTCAATGTAATTTATAATATTAGTAGATTAAAGGAGAAAACTCACATGTTTATCTCAATAGTCATTGCTAAAGTTTACTGCCTACATATGAAAGCTATTAGAATAATAAGAAACGTGATAAAGGCTACCTACCAAAAGCTGCAGTAAGTATACTTATTGGGGAAACTTTAGGAGTCTTATACCTAAGACTAAGAACAGAAAAAGGAATGCCTGCTATTGCTACTTCTGCTGATTAGTGGAAGTACTGACAAATTCTGTAATAAGAAAAAGAGCTATTACAGACTGGCAGATGGAAGTAGAGACAAATATGTCATTTATGGCAGATCATATGATTATTTACATTAAAAATTGAACAAAGACAGATATGAGAACTAAAAAGCCTAAAATCTGAACAAGGTTCCTGTATACAAAATCAATGTTCAAAAAAATCAGAAACCTTCCTATATACCTGTAATAACCAATTAGAAAATAAGAGCATGTCAAAGCAACCAAAATTCTAAAGAATCTAGGAGTTAACTTAAAAATTGCATATGACTTATGGAAAAAAATTTAAAAGAACATTAAAAAACCTCAGTAAATGGAGAAATATACAATGTTTACAAAAGGGAAGATTAAACATTGTAAAGATGTCAATTACCTCTAAAATTACCTATAATTTTAATGTAATTCCAATAAGACATTTAGATGGAATTGAAACTAATTCTAAGTTGACATGGAAAAAAAAGTCCACCAATAGCTAAAACAGTTGTCAAAAAGAGCAGAGAGGATACATTCACACTACCTGATATTAAGACATATTGCAAAGCCATAATATATAAAGCATACTGTTATTGTCAAAGCATGTGATACTGTTGCAGGAACAAACAGACGAGCCTAATAAATACAAATACAGACCCATATGCCAGTTATGCCTATGGAGAGTTGATGTGTGATAAAATTGGTATTACGAATCACTGGGGAAAGGTGCATTATTTAACAAACAGTACTGAGGGAA